AATCCCGTTAGTAACTGCACCCTTTAATAGAGAGTAAGTTTCTGTTATTGACAAGCAAAATAAATAAATAAAAACTTAGCTAATATGGAACTTGGTGCCTGAGAATAGGCAACCTCCTGGAAATGTGAGGAATTAGTGGGCTAGTATGAAGCTCCCTTTAACACTCAGAATGACAGTTCACCCACTAAGGTTGGAGCTCTTAGCTAAGTAGCTGTCACTGTTGATCAATTTAAAGGGATGAAGAATATTGGACAACTTGGTATGATGGTTATTTTTTTTTACTTCATATAAAACTTAAGAGAATAAGAACAAAACTAAAAACTTACCTCAGAGATATTGTGATCCTCTCTGTGACTTTGATGAAAAAGTCAATTCTTATCTAAAGCTCCAAGACCAGGCATATACAAAACCAGACACAGAAACTGATATTAGGAGTTAGGATCACAATCTTTTGAAGTCTTCTCCATGAGGGTTAGAGAACCAGAAGATGTGGATCCTGACAAGTAGTATTATTAGAGGAAAGTGAGACAGCTCAGTGTTACTGCCAAGTGTTACAGCTCTGGGTTACATCTACAGCCATCTGAAGAGACAAGAATCTGAAAGCCACTCAAAGAGGTGGAGAAAAACCTTTTATTAACTGGCTGATATAGAGAAGTTTTAAGCACTCTGAATTCTCAGCCCCTAGTTGCAATGAGAGTACGCTTATTTACAGTTGGGGAGAGGAAGTTGAGAGGAACCTTTTAGGCTGGGAGATATAGCTAGAAGGGGAACCTCTTGGGGGCAGAGTTAACAGAACATTCTCGAAAGCTTAGGTAGAAATTCTGTAGCACATACAAACAGTTTGTATGTTTGTTTGAATAACACTTTTTTTTTGGTACCAGGGATCGAACTCAGGACCTTGGGCTTGCAAGGCAGGCACAGCACCACTGAGCTAAATCCCCACCCAGAACAAAACACTTTTGATATGTTGGGGAGGTACATTCTGCAGCACAATTATTGAACATTTTGATATATGGGCAGGAACATCATACAGCACAAATGGTTACATTTCTTGAACAGAACATTTTATGGCAAAAGCATGGGAGGGGGCAAAGCCCTGCTCTGTTGTGCATTATTGCTTTATCCTTATAGATAGTTAAGTTAGGAATATTATAGGCAGTCAAACAGAGCTAGGGCCTCAAAGAGTCAGTGCAGAAGATAAGATCATGCCGGGGATTTAGCTTAGTGGTTTCGCTGCCTGCTGCGCAAGTGCAAGGACCCGAGTTTGATCCCCGGGACCAAAAAAAAAAAAAATAAGATCATGTTACAATATGTGGCTGGAGGTGCATTCATTGAAGGTCAGGCTTCAAGACAAAGAGGAATGACTACACACACATACTTCCCCGAGGGATGAACTGCAATGATTGATATTCTAAATAGGCATCAATCACCTTGCGTGAGAGACCAAAACCTCTCTAGCTCATTCCTTCCCTGAAAATCCTTGTTAGTTCTATTTTGATCTCTATTCCCCTTTCCCATTTGATCCCTATTTAATCAATATTACCTAAGCAACTATATTCATAATCATATTAGTTGACCATAGTTTTGTTCCAAGTCATACCCACCTTGTGATTCTCCATTGGATAAATATTACCAAAGCAACCATACTTGTAATCTTATTGGCTAATGTTTTGTCCCACCCTGTCCTTGCCTCATTTTATGGCTTTGCTCTATAAAAATCCCTTGAGAAGCAGGGCTCCAGGCCACCCACTCAGAATCCTTTCTGTATTTCTTAGACAGAACCTTTCTCTCAATAAATACTTCCTACACACTTTTTTTTCCTGGTACTGGGGATCAAACTCTGGACCTTGTGCTTTCGAGGCAGACAGCAGACCCACTGAGCTAAATCCCTGGCCCTACTTCCTACTCTTAATCTCTGTTCCTAGAATTCATTCTTCAGTTTTAGAGAACATGAACTCAGCATATTGGACATCTAGCAGTTTGGGAGTTATATTTCCCTTATATTATTTGGATTACTTGGAGGTGCTGTAGGATTCCTATGTCATACTCCCTATATCTGTAGGAGTCGCAACATCTAAGAGGATTTAGAAAACTCAGTGCAAGACTTCTTAAAAGTGTGCTCCCCAAACCAATGGCATCAGTTACACAAGGAACCTGTTCAAAATGCTAATTTTGTGGCCCCTCTGCAAGATCTTGAGACTCTAGGGATGCACACTGCTCTCTGTGTTTAAACAAGTCTTCCAGGTGACTAAGGAAGGTTTAATAACAACTTAGCAGATCTGAAGTCCTCAAACTATCCCTTTTTTGTTTGTTTGTTGTTTTTGGCAGTACTAGGAATTAAACCTAAGGCCTTCACATTAAGCCTACATCCCCAGACCTTTTTTAAAATTTTTATTTTGAGACAGGGTCTTGCTAAGTCACTAAGTTGCCTAGGCTAGGCTCAAACTTGTGATCCTCTTGTTTCAGCCTCCCAGAGAACTGGGATTACAGGCATGCACCACCATGCCTTGCAAGTATTCTGAATTTTATCATCATTCTGCCTATTTTGGCTGAGGAAACTGCCACCTTTACATGTGGAAAGCAATAATTTCAGAAGCCAAGCCGCACTGTTGTTATGACAACCAGCATAAACATTTAGCATGGTCAGATGGAGTGGAATGGGTTGGGGTAATGCTAAATACTGCATTGGTAGAGAAGAGTTAGAAAATATGGATACAAGGTTTTTAGCTTCCTAGTCTCTGTAGAGTGAGAAGGCGCATTCAAGAAAGAAGCAAGACGGTGCAGTGAACTAATTCTAAACTACTTACTGAGGGGACAAGAAGCTCTTTACAAAAAGCCCTCTGGCCTTGGAATGCTGTGTACAGGAGCTGCCACTGAAATGGGCTCCGAGAAGACAAGGGAATAGGAGAAGCTCAGGGTGCCTGAGACTATGAGGAAATTGCTAACCATCAAAGGTAACTGGTCTTGGAAATGCTAAGAGAAAGAATCATGGCCTTGGGAATTAGATTCCAAAAAATATCTACAAATATCTGGTAGTGATAAAGTAATCAGGGGACTCCAAAGCATGACATTTTGTTTTACTATAATCTTATCTAATTTATAACCCCTTCCATCTCAGCCCACCTCAAATACTAGGGCAGAACTACCTGTCTTGAGCCTTCAGAGTTTTATCTTGTTTTTTGTTGTTTTTTTCTCACCTGGGTTCTGGGGATCGAACTTGGGACTTTGTGCTTGCGAAGGGGGCAGTGGAACCACTGAGCTAAATCCCAAGCCCTATCTTGTTTTTAATCCATCTACTAGACTTGAGTCATTCAGGAGAACAAATTAATGGTCAACAGAAACTTGAAACTGGGACGTGGCCATTTTCACTACTTATACCACTAGGGAATAATCCAAGAAAGGGAGTGTAATTAGTCTGCTTTTTGTTACTGTAATGAAATGATTCAAGGTCGGGTACTTATGAAGACTCACAGTTTTAGAGGTGAGAGTCTGAACAGCATAGCACTGGATCAGGCAAGGACACCACGGCAGATGACAGAGGGTACGCAGGAAAAAGGATCACAACTTGAAACAAGAAGCCGGAGAGCTGGGTGGGATCAGGCTTGCTCTTTGTAACTGCTCTCAGGAGAGTTTAGGAATCCAGAGGGTTTTATCTTCAATGCCCTGAGTACTTCCCACTGTGCCCTAGTTATTAAGAGTTCATCATCTCTCACCACCATATGGAGACCAAGTGTCCCTCACTTGAACCTTTGGGTGACTTTAAATCACACCAGGAAAGTTATGGTATTGGTTATTCAGATGGTTTTAAAACATATTCTCAAAATCTTTGATACTTCATCCTTTCAGAGGCAAATCTAATCTTCTTGGCTGTGGGTCAGACTTAGTAACTTGTCTGTAACAAGCAAATTTCCCTTTAAGCCTTGCTTTTCCTATATCCCACCTATTTTGATAAGTTCCATTTTATTTAGCTCAAAGTACTTGTAAATTTCTCTTGAGATTTCTTCTTTGGTCCCTGTATCATACCAAAATATATTTTTAATCTACAAATATTTGGGGATTTTTTCACTTGTTTTTCTGCTATCAATTTCTAGTTTAATTCCACTGTGATCTAGAACATACTTTTTATCGTTTACATTCTTTTACATTTGTTAAAGTGTTTTTGATGACCCAGAATGTGTTCTATCATCGTGAATGTTCCATGTGGGTTTGAGAAGAATTAGTCTCCCGTTGTTGGATAGACAAGGAAAAATACCTTTACAGTGACGTATTGTCCAGTAAATATTCTGGAGCTAGTCCTTTAGAAGTTGAGTTTCATGTTTTTGCTGTAGTAATCTTTAAGATTTTGTAAAAATAAACTCAAATTTCTCACTCTGAGTCAACATCATGGTTGAGAAAGTGCTGTATGATACTTCCTGACTTACTTATTATTTTAAAATATTGAATTCTGTTCCATTATCAGATCATGTGTTCCCAATTTTGTAAAGAAATAGTCACATTACTCGTTACCCAGGATGTCTCCCCCAATTCCCACTCCCTAATAATCTACCAAAAAAGATCCATGGCTCTCATCCTAAAGTGGCCAGAAACTGCCGTGGATTTAAATCCCAGAGTGCTGACAAAGTCTCCAATTTTGTTTTCCTTGTCACTCGAATGCAGGACTGCAACGGATAGCCTCTTGGAGGGCCGTTTCATCTGCAGAGTTCTGCGGTTAAAACGCATCCCTTCTTGGAAGAGAATCCACATATGGCCACTGTGGGAAATTAGCCCACGGCCAGGCTAACTGTAGAGTAAGAGTCAATGTGATTTCTTTTCGGAAAGCCTTCCCAGACTAGCACCCCGCGCCAGCAACAAGGGGCGCCGCTGCACCACGTGTCGGCGCCAGCTGCCGGATTGGAGGAGCGCGTTTTAGCGCTGGGGGCTTGACCCGCGCGGCCCCACCCCGCTGCCGGGAGCAGAGCAGCCGAGAGAAGCGGCCAGAAGGAACTCGCGGAGGGGAGGGGGCGGGAGGGGGGTGGGGGATCCTGAGGCTCCCGTGGACCCGAATCTGGGAAGGGCCGGAGCGGCGCCAGTCGACTCGCTTCGTCACGACTTGCCCAGACCAGACACGCTTCGTCTTGCACCCTGGAAGAAAGAACCGGCCCGCCTCTCGGGCTCGGCTGCTCCTCGGCCTCAGCGAGCCCCGCAGGCGCCAGCTGTGCCCCTGGGGTCTGGATCTTGTAACGCTCCGTCCTCCTGCAGCGCCCGGCACCCGCCCAGGAGCGCGCAGCTGGGGTGAGCCAAGGCCAGGGATGCGCCGGCCGCCCGCGGAGCTCGCTGCGCACCGGCATCTCCATGCTGGCCGCGCTGGGCCTCCTCCCGCCTCAGTCGGCCGCGATCCGCGCCGCTGCAGACCCCACTGCCAGCTTGTCCTCTGAGGAAGGGCGCCGAGGCCCCATTGGACCCCGCATCCCTCAGCCTTTGTTTTCGCGGGCTCTGCAGGCCCGTAGTGCGGTGCGCCCCGGAGGGCACTTGCGGCGCAGGGCTGGGGCCCCTGCGTGGGATGGGGCCGGAGGGAACAGGAAAGCATGCCCCCTTCTTTCCTGTTCCGGCCATCTTGGGGCCGAGATCCGACCTGAAGGGCAAGGGTGGCCAACAGCAGACGCCCCAGGCTGGAGTGGTGGCCGCGAACGGAGACACCTGGGTGCTCGGGCCCGCGGCCTTCCCTGTCGGGATCGCGGTGGGGACGTGCGGGCTGCACCCACGATTACCTGTGAGGCAAGGGTTCTCTGTCAGAAGCAGGGAAAACCGAGGGGTACGGGCCCGGGAACCGAGCGGCTAATCCGTTCGACCGTTCTTCATTCCGGTTGGGCGCACTCTGAACGCCTTCTCCGTGCGGGTTCTGCGCTAGGTGCTGCGGATACGTCGGTGAGCGAGAGAAACCACGGCCCTCGTTCCCGCTGATCCTGCAGCCCCAGTGGATGGAGCCCCGAGCCCACAGACGTGTCAGGTCGGTATCGCGACGCCTTTCAACAGATGGGGAAGTTGAGGCCTAGGGCTGGCAGACTGATTCTAGGTCAGGCAGCAAGTAAATGGAAAAATCAAACTTTGAGCCTATCTTTGTTTTTAGAAATTTTGTGCCAGGCAACAGAGAGTCGTTAATAGTTCTTTTCTCTTCTTATTTATAAAGGCTCATTAGATGTTGTGTGGATTTATGGTTTATATGGTTTATTTCCTGGATGCTTTTCCTATGGGTTTATTTCTTGTTCCCAACATCTGGAAAGTGGTACAAATATTTGATATTACAACTTTGCTTGTAGTTACTCTGAATTGTATTTTCCTTTCTTCTGTTCACGTATCTGGCTTTTAGGAAAGAAAAAAAAATTCCTGATGGTTGGTCCCAGCAGGGACTCCCGGGCGGACTGAGGAATGTGTGGACCTTCCTCAGCGCATTGATCTCTCTGTCGGTCACGAGTATCCTTCAGAAGACTCCCAAAATGAGAGGCCTGAGGTCTGCAAGTCGCTGCTAGAAATACTTTAGTTTCTCTAGAGAATAGAATGCAGCCACCGTGCAAGTTTGCAAGGTAAATACGGTGGCCTTGTAAGGAAAGCATGACAGATGACGGCTGATGATAGTTGACGTTCCCCTCTGTTTTTACCTTCAGCATTTTGACAGTATCTTTTGGAAAGAGGAGTGAGCCCTTCTATACCTCCGGGAGGTCTCAGCTTTGTACTTTTATCAGAATGTTATGTTTAGATTGTCAATCCACAGAGGGAGAAAAAAATCTTTTTTTTTTTTTTGGTGCTGCAGATCGAACTTGGATCCTTGCCCTTGCGCAGCAGGCGGCGAAACCACTGAGCTTAAATCCCTGGGCCCCAAAAATTCTTTTAATAATAGTGCCTTGGCTGGGTACGGTGGCACACGCCTGTGATCCCAGTACTAGGGAGGCTGAAGCAGGAGGATGGCCGTGAGTTTGAGGCCAGCCTGGGCTACACACTGAGTTGAAGGCCAGTCTGAACTACAAACCTATAGCCTGTCCCCCAAAACAAGAAATTTAGAAAGCCCGCCATCACATGTGATTAATTACAAGTTCAAATTAAAAAAAACTATTTGGTGTAATATACAAAATACACCCTTAATTTTAAGCTTACAGTTTCATAAATTTTACAAATATATATAATCCCCAGCAATCACCACCACCATGGAAATGTGGAACATTACTATTACTCCAGATTTTTCTTTGGCCTCATTTAATTTTATATAGTTTTGTTGCTACATGTTGTCCAAATTGTGTGTAAAAGGTACGAATAAATAGATATTTCTAATCTCAATACCTAAGTCTAGCATAGGGGTGGATGGATAACCAGAGGATGGTAGCCGGGACCGAAAGTCCTGGGGATGGGGCTCCTTGCGCCTGTCTAAGGACATGGCACCTTTCAGCCCCAAAGGCCAAGGAGGAGGGTGGTGCTCCTGGGAGCCCGGAGGTGCCCTCTCCCGGTGGGCAGCGGGCGTGTCTCCTCGGTTTGGTCCACTAGGTCTTTTCTGGTCCCACAGGGCCCTGGGCGCCCGCTGACCGAACTCAGGCGCGTGCGCTCGCAGTTTGCTCCCGCTCCTGGCCAGGCACTGCCATAGCAACGTCCTGGACGCCCAGACCTCTGGCGGCCGCAGCGGAGGGGGACCCGCCTTCTCCCGCTCGCAAGGGCGTGGTGGCGGCGTAGGCGGCGGATTGGCTCGCAAGCATGGTAAGAGGCGAGAGGCCAGCAGAGCGCGTCCGGGGATGCCTGGCTGGGGGTGGCCAGGCTCCCCAGGACTCCCCGCTGCCTAGCCTGCCTGCCGCCTCCAACCCCGCCTCCTGCGGCGCTGTCTCTTCCCCTACAGCCCTTCCAGAAGCACGTTTACTACCCGCTGGCCAGCTGCCCCGAGGGGCCAGATGCCCCTGCGGCCGGCCCGGCCTCCATGCCCGGTCACGCCTCCAGCGCGGCGTGGGGACCCCTGCCCTTCTTCCAGTTCCGGCCGCGGCTGGAGAGCGTGGACTGGCGACGGCTGAGTGCCATCGACGTGGACAAGGTGGCGGGAGCCGTGGACGTGCTGACGCTGCAGGAGAACATCATGAACATCACCTTTTGCAAACTGGAGGATGAGAAGTGCCCGCACTGCCACTCTGGGGTGGATCCGGTGCTGCTGAAGCTCATCCGCCTGGCGCAGCTCACCATCGAGTACCTGATGCACTCGCAGGAGTTCCTCACCTCGCAGCTGCACACCCTGGAGGAGCGGCTGCGCCAGAGCCTGGGCGACTGCGAGCAGAGCAAAGAGCTGCTCGCCAAGCAGGCGGGGGAGATGAAGCTGCTCAAGGAGGAGTGTAGGCGCAGGAAGAAGATGATCTCCACCCAGCAGCTGATGATCGAGGCCAAAGCCAGCTATTATCAGGTGAGAAGCTGCGCCGTGGTCCCCAACCAGGACCCGGAACAACCCGGTTGCCATTTAAGGGACTTTCCTGCAGCACCGCCCCTTCTAGTCAGAGATTGTATCGAGCATCAGAAGAAACAGCATATTTAAGCAATACAGAAGACAGGGTTGGTTCAAGACCTTCTGCACCCGGCCCAGGAATTAATAATTAACTGCCCAGTGTTGTGTTGTCTTCATGCTGATTGGGAAACCTGTTTCCTCTTCCATCCGCTGTATGAAAAAATCAATCCTGTACAAATTGCTCTTGAGGTCAGCTCCTGAACAACCCAAAATATGATTCCGTTTATGGGTTTCTTCTCATTTAAAAAAAGTTTGAAATATTTTCAAAGTGATAAAAAGTTGCCAGAATAGTACCAAGGACTTTGATACGTCCTTCACCTTGAGTCAGCAATTATTAACATCTGCTACATTTGTTGTATTCCCTCTAGCTCCTCTTGTATATTTTTATTACTTCTGAACCATTTCAAAATGAATTAGTAGACTCCTAAATTTTTCAGTGTGTGTATTTCCTAACTTTCTCTTATAGAGAAACAGGACTTAAAGAATCAAATGTTTCTGATCTCAATCTCCATCTCTTACGGGTTAGATTAGAAATTGTTAACAGGGATTGACAGACAGTGATTAGCATATTATTTTATTTTAGCTAAAACTTGAAAGTGAGGGGAAAAATGTCCTGTCACATAAAAGATACCAGAATTAACTTGTAGAGAAATATGAAAGTCACGTAACTACTGTTATTTCAGGTTTTTTTCTCCACCTGGACAGAATATCTGAAGTCTGAACACTGTCTCGTAAAATGGTCAGGCAGCCTGTATTATTAACTTCACTTCTCAGAAATTCAACCTTGTATCTCTTTACCTCCATTTCCTTTTGTTTTGAAAAATCACAATTAGATACTAAAGACTGGAAAATATTAAAGATGTTTGCTTCCTTTTTTTTGAGACAGGGTCTCACTATGCAGCCTAGGCTGGTTTGAACTCAAGGTGATCCTCCTCCCTCAGCCTCCCTAGTGCTGGGATTACAGGTGTGTTCCACCACACCTGGCTGATACTTCCTTCTTTTTTTTTTTTTTTTGGTACCAGGGATCGAATTCAGGACCTTGTGCTTACTAGGCAGGCAGCGGAACCACTGAGCTAAATCCCCGGCCTTGATACTTCCTTTTTGAAGGCTTTTTTCTTTTAGAGTGTCTGTGATATTTGTTGTTTAAATGTAGCATCAGTCATATATTGATCTTTTTTTCTCAGCATTTTCTTTTTTTTTGTACGGGGGATCAAACTCAGGACCTTGCACTTTCAAGGCAGGTGGAACTACTGAGCTAAATCCCTGGTCTCAACATTTTATTATAAAAATTTATGGTTTTTTTTTTTTTGGTACTGGAGATCGAACTTGGGACCTTGTGCTTGCGAGGCAGGCATTGGAACCACTGAGCTAAATCCCCAGCCCTTTATTTTTATTTTTTATTTTGAGAAAAGGTCTTACTAAGTCACCTGTTGCACAGGCAGGGCTTGAACTTCTGATCATCCTGCCTCAGCCTCCCAGAGTGCTGGGATTATAGGCATGCGCCACAATGCCTGGCCCCTGTTCTCCTTTTGTAGCCTGAGGGAATTGAAGTTGGAAAGGCTGCAGCATAGTTAAGAGCACCTTCTGGGAACCTGTGTGGAGCAAGGACAGGGAAAGAGAAAGGCATGGTTTCCTGTCTTGTCCTTGCTCTAATGCTGCACATGGCTCTGGAGCCTATGTTTATGTCAGAGGCAGTGCAGGCATCCCTCTGGGCCTGTGAGTGAGCCACAGCACGCATCATGAGCACGGAAGACTGAAAGGAGCTTAAGAGAGAAGTACGCCACATGGTAGGGTGTTGGGAAACCCAAAGCTGAAGTCTAGAAGCAATCACACTGATTGTGGAGATCAGTGAGAAAAGAACATGCTAAAATGGTGCAGCAGAGGTGAAACAGCAAAAACCAGACAGAGACCCTGCAGGACAAGTGTTAGATCTCTTTGGCGAAAGACAGCAAGGGAAAAGGAGAGATGGAGGGGAACCTGTAGACTAAAAGACAGTTAAGAGACAAACCAACCAATTGTGGGATGTAAGCCTTACTTGAAGCCTATTTCAAAACTGCATTTTTTTTTTTTGGTACCAGGGATCGAACTCCGGACCTTGCGCTTTCGAGGCGGGCGGTGGAACCACTGAGCTAAATCCCCGGCCCCGTTACTGTATTTTGATTGAAAGAAAGTCCATTTCTTTTGGATATACATTCTTAAATATTCACAAATGAAATACATGACATCCAGCATGTACTTCAGCATAATCCAGGGATGAGCATATAGATGAAACAAGTCGAATTTCTGCCTAACATGCCAATCAGTGTAAAAGTAAAAAAATAGAGATATTGGTCAAATTTCTTTTTTTATTCTCAGAGAATTCATTTGAGTAAGCCAGGTACTTCTAAGCATTCTTCAGTCTTGTATAAATGCTGTGAAGAAGGTAGACTGGGTCCAGGAACTTGGAGGGACTGAGCAGGAGACAATGAACAAAGGAAGTAAATAAGTGTGAAGATATTAATTGGTAAGGTGTACAGTGATACAGATAAAACAATGGAATGTGACAGACTGGCTGGAGAACCTCCTGGGAAGATCTTACTGAAGATTTGATGTTGTCCTCAGGATAGATAATGTTCCCTGGATGACATCTCCAATGTCAAGAGGATTCCATCCTTGGGAAGGTCTGGGAAAAATTAGGCAGGGAACTGCAAATGCTAAGGCCCTGAGGTTGGCAGGCTTAGGGACAGAAAGAAGCCAGCATGGCCAGAGTGTCATGAACAAGTTGGTGGTGACAGTGTGGAAGCCACTATTCTTTTTTCTTTTTTTTTGTGGTACTGGGCATCGAACTCAGGATCTTGTACTTGCAAGGCAGGCGCAGCACCACTGAGCTAAATTCCCGGGCCCTGGAAGCCACTATTCTAATGGAAGCAGCATTTGGGGTTCCAGAAAGCACCAGAAGGGCTACTTTAACTGTCAAGAGATATTTCCCTATATGCTGCTTTGTGTTTAGCTTGGGAAGAACAACCTGATTTTTATATTTATCTTCTTGGTCATGTTTGTTTGTTTTTTTTGCTACTGGGGATCAAACTCAGGACCTTACGCTTGTGAGGCAGGTGGCAGCACCACTGAGCTAACTCCCTGGCCCTTCTTAGTCATGCTTTTATTCTCCCTCACCAGGTTGGTATCTTTGGAGGAGAAAGCCCCCAAGAGGCAGTACTTCCGGGACCTGAATTTGAGCTGCAGTCAGGCAAGAAGACACTAGTTACAGACACTTGGATTTGTTGCTTTCTTCTTTCCAGTGCCATTTTTGTGACAAGGCCTTTATGAACCGTGCTTTTCTACAAAGTCATGTTCAACGCCGCCACCCTGAAGATGCTCACCTTGGTAAGGAATGAGATCTATTTCAGAGCTATTTTCTCCCTGTTCTCTTCTTCTTGTTTTCAGTGAGACAGGGCCCCGGTGTACTTCTCAATCCCTTTTAAAAGAAAGCCTCAGTCCTTTCTCGTTCAGGAAGTAAATATTGAGCCCCTACTGTATGCATGCAGTGCTATAGGTGCTGAGGATACAGCCAGAAGCTGAATGGAGAAGTCCTGCTCTTTGGAGTCTTACATCCTAATGGAGGGGCAAAGGAAGTGCTTTCACAAATAAAGGAGAAATTCTTTTCACATGCTAGCAAACGCGATGAAGATGATAAAACAGGAGAATGGGATGGAGTGTCTCTAGGTGGTCAGTGAAAGCCTCATGAGCAACTCACAGCTACTCAGGGCCCAGAATGATGATGAGGCTCCAGCCTGGTGCGAACTGGGAGAAAGGAGGAGGTGCAGGGAACACTGATTGTAAGGGGGCAGACAGTGTGTCAGAGGAACAGGAGGCCGGCAGAGCACAGTGAGGAAGGCAGCCATGTGTGTTGGGGCTGGAGGGGTAGAGCCTGTGAAGGCTCCCGCTGGAATGTGCATTTTGGGGTTAGCATAATGAGAAGCCACTAGAGGCTTTTAGTGGGGGAGGGTTGCAATCTAATTTTTCCCTTGAAGTGGTCCCTCTAGCTGTGCATGGAGAATAGACTCCAGGGCCCACAGTTGGTGCAGGATGAGTAGTACACAGAAGCACAGGTGAGAGAAGTAGCCTGGACCAGGATGGTTGCAGGGCAGAGGGGGAGATAAAGATGAAAGGAAATGTATTGGGCAGAGTCTAGAGACATGAGTCAGAGCGAGAGGCAGAGATGGAACAAATGTGAACGGTGGTGACGCTCAGTGTGATGGGCTGGGAGTGGGCAGTGGCTTGGCGGAGGAAGCAGACTGGGGAGCTTGTGTTGCCAATAGGTACATTTACATCACACGTAGAATAGCTATGAAGTGGGCACCCGGAGGTCTGCAGCTCCAGGAAGGGAGAGACTGGGCTGGAGAAAGGAATCTGGGCGTCACTGGAGGAGAGCTGAGCTGACTGAGGTCACCTAGGTGGAGGACAGAAGATGCAGCGTCAAGACTCTCCCCACACTAGAGCCCAGAAAGAGCAGGTGGAGGTTGAGAAGTAGCGTCTGTGGGCAGGAGGGAGATCTGGAGAGTGTTCTGTTATGGAAACAAAGTATTTCTAGGAGACAGTGGGCCAGTGTATATAATGTTCCTGAGGCACAGAACAAGGTGCAGGTAGGGAACTGACTGTTGTTATCAAGGGGTCATGGGTGACCTTGATGTAGCAGCTGCAGTGGATTGGTAGGGACCAGAGCTCTGAGTGAGCTGAGCTGAGAATTGTAAGGGAGTAGTTCTATCAGGTATGGATGTAGATTTCACTAATGTTTTCTGGGCAGGATGCAGGGACAGAGGCATCATCTGAATCGAAATGTGGGACTAAGGGAAATTTGTTTTGTTTGATGTGGGAGATGTGTTTGGGTGCCAGTGGGAACTAACTGGACTATAGAGGTGGAGATGAAAATGCGCGAGAGAGGAGAGGATTCTGTGGCTTACCAAGGAACCAGGACTCTTACTACTATTTAAATGTTGTCAAAGCAAAGAATGTAAGTTTTCTTTTTCCATGAGCAGATGAAAGCTTTCTGCTGCACTAACCTCAGAAACACTCACTGACCATAAATGTTTTCAGTATCTAGGTTTATCTACTTAGTTTGTTACTCCTCCATTTTGGGGGAGTCTCTTTCCATTCCTGCCCATTTCAAGTAAATTGATTTATTTAGGAAATAGCTAAGGTTTGTGGGAACAGAATACAATTCCATTTGTAAGTCATGGACCATTTTGATAGAACATAACAATATGTTGGAAAAAATGAGAAAGATGAAAAAGTTTAATTAATCTACCATTCTTCAGTGTGAAACTGACCTTCTTTCTCTTCTGTTTCAGTATCTTATTCTATCATACTCGTTTCAGAGAGTATTTCGAACTCTGAAATGAGTATTATTTCTTCAGATCATCTTTGAGATTCTGACTTTCTACTTTGGTTTCCATACCTTTCATGTCTACACTCACAGACACATGTATATCCATTCAGTCATGTGTACATCTTCATGTAAGTACATGTACATAAATATTCTTCCCTTCACTTGTTGCTTCCTTTTACAACTTTTCAGTTTCTTGCTTTTGCCCTAGCTGACAGGGTATGGCCCGAGTTTGTGTTCTGAATGGCAGCCCACTGCTTGTATTAGCATTGACGGGGTCTCCAGGAGAGTTTGGTGGGAGCTGGAAGAATGGTGGCCATAGCGATTTCAATATGGTGGCACCTGGCGTGGAAGCCTTTGCTTCCCTCCTCTGATTGAGACAGGCACCTCTAGCAGAGCTCAGAGAGCCAGTGAGTCAAATCCAATCTCAACACAGTGGCTGAAGGAATCTACTAATAGTTAATTCTTTCCCCAGTCATATGAAGGGCTCTCAGTAAACACTAAAGAACAAACATGGGTTCGTGGGATGAAACAGATAATAATATCCCAAGTAAGAGCAGTTGCCTTTGTGTTATTAGTAGGATTGTGCCCCGTAAGTTTTCAGTTGAGTCTTGTAAAGATGGTGTTCTAACGAGATTTTCTGTTGCACACAGAGTATAAAGCAAAGGCACAGACCGACAAGCTCCAGAAGGAGGTTGACATGCTGAAGGATCAGCTGCAGCTGACCAGGTCTCAGTTGGAGGCTGCCCAGCATGCCCATGCAGTCAGATTCTCCAAGGTGTGGTGCAACATTCTGAACCTATAGTATTTTCATTACGCTTAACTCTGTAATTCCTTTGTCCCATGGACTCTTATAAATAGAGGACCCTTAGGGGTTTGTAGAACTTAATAAAATGTAGTTGTATTTTGTGTTGTCAGTCTACTGTTAGCCTAAGATACTGTTAGTATCTTACTACAAAGCACATTCCTGGAAACAGTTCTTTATCTTTTTATTTTTTAATTCAAGCAAAATTCATTCATCGCTAACACAAGTAATCTTTCTTTTTGGTGTAAAACAGCTCACGTTTATTATGTTCCATTACATTTCTGTGAGTCTCAAGTCTCACTAGGGTAAAATCAAGGTGTCAGGAGGGCCATGTTCCTTATTGGAAGACAGTATTTCTTGCTTGTTCGGGTTGTTGGCAGGATTCAGTTCCATGCATTCGTGGGCTGAGGTCCCCACTTTCTTCCAGGCTGTGCACTGAAGGCTGCTCCTACTTTCCTTGTCGGCTCGTGGTCCTCTGCCTCCCTGTTCAGAGCTACCAGAGGGGGTCGAGGCTCTCTGGCGTGTCATGTCTCATCTCTTCTGTTGTCCCTTTCATCCATGTGTCAGCCCTGGTGTGGGCTTGGAATGTCACGTTCAGTAATTCAGGGATGACGAAGGCCTAGGAGGAAAGCTGGCTGTTATGTGTCCGTCATGATGGGGACTCTGTGGACCCTGAGCATGCCATCGCTGTCCCGCAGAGGATCAGCTTGGTGTACTTCCTGGGAAAGGAAGACCAGAAAGAGCAGTTCTCTCTTGTTGGAGCCGAAGTAATGCAGTATGCGTAGTTCTTTCTTGTTTCCCCAATGGGGATAGGAAGAACAGAAGTAGCAAGTTACTTCACAAATGCAGTGATGGAACCTTCTGTCTTGTACATGGGCTCTCTCTGTTCTTACTATTACTTTTTGGGAAGGGCTCTCTCTCTTTAAAAATATTATGGTAAATTCATATAGCATAAAACATACCAACTTAATAATTTTTAAATGTGTAACTCAGGAGCATTGAGTATAATCTATTGTTTTTTTTTTTTCCTTTTCTATTTTTTTTGGTACCAGGGATTGAACTCATGTCCTTGCACTTGCACAGCAGGCAGCGAAACCACTAAGATAAATCCCCGGCCCATTATAATCTACTGTTTTGCAGCCATACAAACAGAACTTTTTTGCAAAACTGAAACTCTGTGCCCTTTAAACAACAACCCTCCACTCCCCTGTCCTCTCAGCCTCTGTTTCTGTGAATTTGACATAGCTAGCTACTTCATGTACATGGAATCATACAGTATGTCTTTTTGTGTTTGGCTTACTTCACTTAGAATAATGGCCTTGGGCCGGGGATTTCGCTCAGTGGTTCCACCGCCTGCTGTACAGGCTCAAGGACCCGAGTTCGATCCTTGGTACCAAAAAAAAAAAAAAAAAAAATGGCCTCAATCATATTGTAGCATGGGTCAGAATCTCCTTCCTTTTTAAGGCTAAGATTTCATTGTATGTCTACCCCATATATATATATATATATATATTTTTTTTTTTTTTCCGTCCTGGGAATTGAACTCAGGACCTTGTGCTTGAGAGGCAGGTGGCGGCACCACTGAGCTAAATCCCTGGCCCATACTACGTTTTATTTGTCCATTCATCTATCTTTGCACACTTAGATTGCTTCTACCTCTTGGCTACTGCGAATGATGCTGCCACAAACATGAGTGTTCACATATTTCTTTGGGACATAGCCATTTTACAGTGTACAGTTCAGTGGCATGTAGTGTATTAATAAAGTAGTGCAGGGCTGGGGATTTAGCTCAGTGGTTCTGCTGCCTGCCTCAAAAGCATAAGGTCCTGAATTCAATCCCCAGTACCAAAAAAAAAAATAATAATAATAATGTAGCGCAACCAGCAACTCTCTAGTTTCAAAAATTTTCAGCAGCCAAGAAAAATAACCTGTACCCAGTAAGTGGTCAGTTGTACTGAAGATTGAAGATAAGTCTTCTTTTTGTGTCTGTGGATGTCTATTCTATAGATATTATACAAAAGTAATTGTGTAATATGTGACCTTTTATATCTGGCTTCTTTCACTTAGCATATTAATTTTGAGATTCATCGTGGTTGTAGCATATATCAGTCCTTTATTTTTTCTTGTAGGTGAGTAATAGTCTTGTGTGCCAATACCGCAATTCATTCACTAATGGACATTTGGTTTCTACCTTTTGACTATGACGAACAGTGTTGCTATGTACATTCTCATGCAAGTTCCTATGTGGACATATGGTCTGATTTTTCTCGGATATCTAAGAATGAAATTGCTGGGTCATATGGTGATTCTGTGTTTAACTTTTAGAAGAAACATCAGACTTTTCCACAGTGGCTGTTTTACTTTAGATTTCCACGTGTAATGTCTGAAGGCTCCTATTTTTTCACATCCAACACTCATTCTTTTCTGCTTTGTGTATGTACATGGTGCTAGGGAATGAATCCAGGGCTTTATGCACGCTAGGCAAGTGTGCACTATGTAGTTATATCCCCAGACCTTTTTAAAATTCCGTGTTATGATAGGATCTTGCTATGTTGCCCAGGCTGGCCTCAAGCTTGTGAGCCTCTTGCCTCAGCCTCCCGTAGTGTTGGGATTATGGGGATGCACCTCCATCTCCAGCTAGCTTTAGCTCTTATATTTAGATTGATGGCCCATTTTGAGTGAATTTTTACATGTGGAGTGAGGTTAGAATCCAACTTTTGTATGTAGTTACCCAGTTTCCCAGCACCATTTATTTATTTATTTATTTATTTTAAAAATTCTCTTTTTGGTACATTTTAGTTATACAGTGCATTTACATTTATCATTGGGTGCTTGTACCTGTACATGATGTATCTTGGTTCTTATTTTTTTCCCCGTTACCTGTGCGCCCTTCACCCCCTCCACCCTTCCCTATTTACATAGATTTCGTTTCCATTTTTTTCTTTTCTCATAATTTTTCCTATTCCTTCTTTACTTTCCCCTTCCCCTCCCACCACCCCTACACCTTTGGACCTTTTCCTTTTTCAAATTGTCAGTTATTCGTTTTAATCATTTTAATCCTTATTTACACTTTCAGTTTCTCACACTAGAGAAACTATTGGATATTTACACATGTGTGTCCTATTTATTTCACTTAGGAGTGTGGCCTCAATATGCATCCATTTAGCTATAAATATCTCTAGTTTCTCTTTCTTTATGGCTAAGTGTTACTCTATTTTATTAAAACACCAGATCTTCTCTATCCAGTTTCCAGTTGATGGGCACTTGGGCTGTTTCCAAGCTTTAGCTATTACAAACTGTGCCGCTATAAACATGGGCCAGCACCATTTATTGACAATAGTGTTCTTTCTCTCACTGAATGGTCTTAATACCCTAGTTGAAAATTGGTTGGCTGTAGATGTTTGGGTTTACTTCTGGACTCTTCGTTCCATTTAATTGGTGTCTATGTCTAGTCTTATGCTAATGCCATACTATTTTGATTACTGTAGCTTTGTAGTAAGTTTTGTTGGGGGTGGTACTGGGGATCGACCTCGGGTCCTTGCACTTGAGAGGCAGGCAGCAGAATCACTAAGCTAAATCCCTGGCTCATGTAGTAAGTTTTGATATCATGAAATATGAGTTCTCTGAATTTGTTTTTTTAATACTGTTTTGGTTATTCAGAGTTCCTTTCAGTTCCATATGGATTTGAGAATTACCTTTTCTATTTCTGAAAAAAAAAAGGCTATTGGAATGAGAGTGCATTGAATCTGTTGATTGTTTTCAGAAGTATTGGCAATAGTAAATCTGCCCATCCATGAATATGGGCTCTCCCATTTATTTAGGTGACCTTTAATACTTTTCAGCAATGCTTTAGAATTTTCAGAGTAGAAATCTTTCACCTTTTTAGTTAAATTTATTCCTAGGTATTACTCTTTTGTAAATGTTATTATGGGCATATCATTCCATTTTGTAAATAGAATTGTTTTCTTAATTTTCTGTTAAGGTCATTCATTGCTGATATATAGAAACATAAATGATTTTTGCATGCTAACTTTGTGCTCTGTAACTTTGTTGAATTATTCTAGTGCTTTTTTGTGGATTCTATGTGACTGTCTACATATATAATCATATCATCTGCAAATAGAGATAGTTTTGCCTCTTCCTTTTCAATTTGGACACCTTTTTTCTTTTTCATGACTGATTACTCTGGCTAGGACCTCTAGTACAACATTGAATAGCAGTGGTAAAAGCAATGAAAGAAGTGTAACAATACTTTGTTTTGTCCCTGGTCATGGGGGAAAATTTTCAGTCTTTCATAGCAGGTTGTTAACTGGGTTCTTCATAGGTACCTTTGATTATGTTAAAAAGCTTGCTTTCTGTAGGAGGATTGAATTTGGTCAGATGCTTTGTGTGTTTATAGAGAAGATCACATTGTGTTGTTTCCTTCATTCTGTTAATGTAGTATATTATATTCACTGACTTTATGTTAAACCAGCTGTATTCTAAGTACATACTCCTTGCTCATGGTGTATAAATCTTTTTTGTTTGGTTGGTTTTTTGTTTTTTTGTTTTCGGTACTGGGGATCGAACTCAGGACCTTGCACTTGCAAGGCATATGGCGGCACCACTGAGCTAAATCCCCGGCCCTGGTTTTTTGTTTTTAGAGGAAGGGTCTTTCTTTGTAGTTTAGGCTGGCCTTGAACTCACTATGTAGCCCACGCTGGCCTGGAACTCGAAAAAGATCCTCCTGCCTCAGTCTCCCGAGTGCTGGGATTACAGATTTTTGCCACCATGCCTGGCCTGGTGTATAATCAATCCTTTTAATGTGCTGTTGTATTTGCTTTGCTAATATTTGGTTGAGAATTTTTGTGTGTTTTAAGGAGTTAATGGCATGTGGTTGTCTGTTCCTGTGGTGTCTTTGGCTGCCTTTGGTATCAGGATAATATAGACCTGATAGGATGCTTTAGGAAATGTTTTCCTCTATTTTTTTTTTTTTTAAAGTTTGCGTAGGATTTGTATTAATTTTTCTTTATAAATAGTTGGTAGAATCAACACTAAAACCTTCTGGCTCTGGTCCAAAGGGAGATTTTTGATTACTAATTAACTCTCTTGTTCCAAGTCTATAGAAATTTTCTTTTTTCATCTTGTGTCACTTTTGGTAATTTGTGTATTTCTAAGAATTTGTCCACTTCATCTAGGTTATCTAATTTGTTGGTGTGTGTTGTTCATTCTTTTATCTTATGGTCCCTTTAATTTCTCTGAGTTTGGTAGCAATGTTCTCACTTTCATTTCTTAGGCTAACTGTAGGTTTGCCAATTTTGTGGACCTTTTCAATGAAGCGACTTTTGTTTTTGGCAGTTCTCTCTATTACTTTTCTAGTCTATTTTGTTTATCTTTGTTTTAAACATCATTTTTTTTTCCTTTTGCTGGTTTGGGGTTTAATTTGCTCATCTTTTTCCTATTTCTTTTTCTTTTTTTTTTTTGGTACCAGGGATTGAACTCAGGTCCTTGCGCTTGCGAGGCAGGCAGTGGAACCACTGAGCTAAATCCTCGGCCCAACTTTTGCCTATTTCTTAGGGTTAAATTTAGGGTGATGACTTGAGATTTTCTTTTTGAGTATAGGATTTTATAGCTGTAGATTACCCTCTCTGCACTGATTTGGCTGAATCTCAAATGTTTTGGTATTTTGTGGGGTTTTTTGTTTTTTTTGAGACAGGATATTGTTTTATAATTCAGGCTGGCCTCGAACTCACTGTGTAGCCTAGGCAGGCCTGAAACTTTCGGCAATCCTTCTGCCTCAGCCTTCTGAGTGCTGGGATTACAGACATGTGTCACCACACCCAGCTAGTATTCTGTGTTTTAATTTTCATTTACCTCAAAGGATTTTCCAGTTTGCCTAGTGAAATTTTCTTTGACCTATTGATTATTTAAGGATATTTGTTTAATTTCCATATATTTGTTAATTGTACAGCTTTCTCTTACTGATTTCTGGCTTAATTCTATTGTGACTGGAGAAGATTCTTTGCATGAATTAAATCTTTTTAAATTTAAGAAACATTTTATGATTTAACATATGGTATCTCCTGGTGAATGTGCCATGTGCATTTAAGAAGAATGTGCATTGTGCTGTTGTTGAGGTCAGGGTTCTGAATATATCGGTTAGATCTAATTGCATTATAGTGTTGTTCAGGTCCCCAGTGCAGGTTAAAAAACTGAAGGTCATCAAGATAGCAAGTGGACTAGACCTTGAAAGTAGTTCATATGAATTTGAATTTATATTTGGGGGGGCTTCTCCACCCAAATTGATACAGTGTCAAGGAAGATTTTTCTGTTGCTTCCCTGGAAGAGTTAAAAACATCATAATACAATGATACATGCGTACTGATAGCAGCACAATTCATGGTAGCTAAATCTTGGAAGTGGCCTATATAGCTATCAGCAGATGAATGGATAAAAGAAATGTGGTATTTATATACAATGAAGTCCTGTGCTGTCAAAAAGAAGTATAAACCAAAAAAAAAAAAAGAAGAAGTGTAAACCTGAGTCATTTGTAGGAAAGTGGATGCATTTTGAGAATATAATGTTAAGTGAAATAAATCAGACACACAAGGTTAGATGTCACTTGGTTTTTCTTATATAATAATCCCAAAGCATAAAGAACAAAATGAAAGATAGAGAATAGAGAGTGGAGAGACAGATCTTCTGCACACGGGAAGGGGGACAAGACATGGGGGAGGGGAGAGAAAAGAGGGGAGGAATGAAAAAAATTAAGATGTTATGTATCTGTACTGATTCCCCACAAAGAACAGAATCATTACATACTGCAAACGTGTGCTAATAAAAAATGCACATTGAAAACCAGTGTGTCTGTATTTTACCCATTCCATCGTGTTTTCTGAACAAGCTCACAGAATACAGCTGAAGGCCTGTGGTTTCTGAGTAGGTACTTTAAGGAATGCAAGGACCAGGGATGATGTATGGCGCCTTTAGTGTGGAAGAATCATTGTGCACAGCCCTGCCACTATAGGAAGTGTGAGCCTAACTGAAAGAAGCAATAGAAGCTAAGAGATTTCAGGTGAAGCTGTGACCCCTTGTTGTAAATCTTGCACATTTGCCTCATAAGGCCGTGTATTAAAGCCACATATTAAAATACTTTCAGGAATATGAAATGCAGAAAACAAAAGAGGAAGACTTTCTGAAGTTATTTGACAAGTGGAAAGAAGAAGAAAAGGAGAAGCTAGTTGATGAAATGGAAAAAGTCAAGGAGATGTTTATGAAGGAGTTTAAAGAATTAACTTCCAAGAATTCAGCATTAGAATATGTAAGTATTAAACCTACGTTATTGTGCCGATTGTCTTGAGGATTCCCTTTTTTTTGGTACCGGGGGATCGAACTTTGGACCTTGGGCTTGCAAGGCAGGCAGTGGAGCCACTGAACTACATCCCTGGCCCTCGGTTGTCTTGAGAGGTGGAGTTGGAATGCATTATGGCCAGAGGAAAGTACTTTACTGGCCCTGGGTTAGACACCTCTCTCAGATCTCTGAGGAGCTTGGGGCACCCAGAAAACAGAGCAAGTCAGAGGAAGTTGTTTTGTTGAGAGTGAGAGCTTGGTCCCAGCTGTGTTAGGGTTGACATTGGTTGTGCATTTGGTTGACATAGTAGAGGGTCCCTTTGTCCGTATCTGGTTAGCTTTACACTGCCTTAAACTGGAAACCCCTCCCCATCATGGCACGAAAGGCCGACCCCTAACACCAGCATGGGAGGGGAAGGGATCTGACCCGGAAAGAATAAACAAGAACTCTTGCCAAGCTCATTTGTCACCCCTGTTCTGTCTGGTGAGGAGGATGGGTCCTGTGGCATGCAGGATCTGGCTAAATGAGCCTCAGACCCCTAGGGCAACAGCCCTGGTCCATACTACCCTAGTCACACGCATGGCTGATAGACACCTCTCATCCCTTCTGCGAATCTGGGGCCTTTCTCCCCTGACTCCTTCTTGGTTGGAGGAAAGGAAAGAGGAAACCTGCGGGCCGGTCCTTGAGCTCCCTCTAGGGGCCAACAAGTTTTAGAAACAAAGGCTATTTCAGGATGACTGCTAAGGTCCTTCTCTAAACGCTTCATTTTCAGCTAATGCCCTTCTTCTGTCCCAGAATCCCATCCAGTGCACCAGTCACATTTAGTTGTCCTATCTCCTTAGACCCCTCTTGGGTTTTGGCAGCCTTGTTTTTGATGACCTTCACACTTTGGAGGAATACTGCCCAGTTATACTGGATAAACCCTAATCCTGGTTGTTGAGATTTATCTGATGTTTTTCTCATATTGGGTTTACATGTAATAGCAAGGGTACACACTGTCTCCATGATTTATCATTGTTGTGGGCCTTGCTCACCTGGCTGAGCTAGTGTTTATCAGAGGAATTATCTTTACTGAAAAGTTACTTCACCCCGCCTTTTTTTAAATGAAGTCACTGTGAACAGCCCATATGTAAAGAATAGGGAGTTTCACCACCTGCCGTGCAAGCGCAAGGACCCAAGTTCGATCCCCGGTACCAAAAAATAAATAAATAAATAAAATTAAAAAATAAAGAACAGGGAAATGTGGTCCCCATTCTTTTGTTTTTCAAGTTGATGTTTTACCTCCTGTAGTTTTCTGAGGAGTTTTTTGTGGGGGTAACTTTGAGGGTAATATAGCAAGGGTAAAATTAAAACATTATATCCCTGGTGGATTTACTCATGTCTCCACATGGTGTGAGCCTCTCACTAAATTATCCTAAGAATCTGCTGCATCCAGTTAAAACCCATTGTCTAAGATTAGAAAGTTAGGTTTGCCTTTCCCCTTCTCACACTGATGGAAAGTCTAGAAAGCACGAGAAACAAGCTGGGAGAGCTACAGGAAGGGGTGGTGGGAGAAGCATGAGGCGCGCCCAGGGAGGTGTCAGGTTGATAAATGGCTTCATGCTCCCCAGTTATATTCAGTGTTTCAGGCTTGTAAGAGTATAACATTTGTACTGGGATTTTGAATTTTCTTTTATAGCAGTTGTCAGAAATCCAGAAGTCCAATATGCAAATCAAGTCCAACATAGGCACGCTGAGAGATGCACATGAGTTTAAAGAAGACCGCCCGAACCCCCAGGATTTCCAGAATGTGATGCAGCTGCTTGACAGCCAGGTACGTGAAGGAGCAGTAACTGCAGTAGATTCTTGGTGTTTTTCAGAGCAGTCATTTATAGTAAATGTCCTCTGCCCAAAACGACTTTGTCTCCTTCAGTGACCATGAAGGTGACTAGTTCACCTAACACCCAACACATGCCACATTCATTATAGGTGTTCATTAAATGCTTGTTGTTGAGTAGTTATATGGATACAAAACAGGAGGCAGAATTGTTTCAGTTTTTCCCTGACATAATGTCAAGGTGAGCTGGTATTACTAACCAGTTGACATTATTATTTGATTTTTCATATTTCAGATGTAGATCTCACTTTCAAAAGGCACACAAAGACGTATTGAGGCACCAATTAATTTGTAGAGCTTGATTGCACCACTTCATTGTTGAACTGATGACGTTTTACATTACTTAAACATCATTACAGTCACTCGGAAATGAACCTATGTAATTGGCACAATCTTGTCGTGGCAGTTTTGGTGTTAGTGGTTTATATGTTGGTTTTTTTGGGACCTATATTTGCAAGGCAGGGCACAGTGCCACTGAGCTAAATCTCCAGCCCTTGGTCTTAGTGGTTTAGAGAAGCAATTGTTTTAAAACCATGGAACAGATAGAGATTTGAGCTTATAAATTCCACATGTAAAAAAAAAAAGCCTGTGTTACTTCGGAGAAGGTAAGTATAATTTTGAAGTATGGACTGCTTCTTTTCTCTTCAACACTCATGTCCTACCTACCTCCTCTCAGCCAGGCCAAGTATGTCTAAAACCCTTTGGTGACCCCAGTTTCACAAGATGCAGTCCTGAATTCCCAGCTGGCGTGCTTTTTCCCTGGACAAGGCCTTGTGTTAATTCTTTTCCCACCTGCGAGTGGCTGCCCTGCAAGGCGCCTGTTGCAGGGTTGAGGACTAGGAGTCAGGGCCTGAACTATTGACACTTGCTCCCAGCAGGCTGGAAACCCCCGACTGTCTCCTGTAACTTGAAGGACACAGGAATTCCTAAGGTTGGCTAAATTTTTTCTGTTTCTTGCCTGTGAGCAGTGTTGTCAGTTTACAACCCATGGGGCCAGAAACCTTAATGTTTTCTCCTGGCCCTTAGATTGGCTAAGTAGCACAGTTTTTGCCAATAAAATTTTATTGGAACACAGCCACGCCCATTCACTTACATCTTATCTGTGGTTGTTCCCCACTACCTGTAGTTGTGACCCAGAGCCCAAAATAGTCACTGTTAGCTCCATAATAGACTCTTTGCTGATCCTGCCCTATATTAAAATCAGGAGCAAAGATTTTCAGCTGCATATATCCTTAAACATGCCCTAGAAGAGTACCAGACGGTTGGGTTTCATAGGTTCCCACTGAAAAGGAAGGTCACATTGTGAGTAGGTTTCAGTGACAGTTGAAAGCAAATCACTCTGTTCTATTCTCTCGTAGGAAAGCAAGTGGACAGCTCGAGTCCAAGCTCTCCATCAGGAGCACAAGAAAGAGAAGGGTCGGGTAAGACTGAATAACCAGAGCTGCTGAGTGGGTCTTCCCTTGTTTTTGTGGTACTGGGCATTGAACCGAGGGCCATGAGTATATGAAGCAAGCACTCTACAACTGAGCTGCTCCCTGACCCCAAGGGAGTAATTTTTAAAAAGCATATTTCTTTCTTTATAATAAAGGCAATGTTTGTCCACCTAACACTTGTGGAGAAATTTGTAACAAAATTAAAATTACTCACAACTCTAATACAAAAGATAACTACTGCCACTATTTTGTTACTTTTTTTCCCCATTTTTTCTGTGCTATAAATTTTGCATTTCTGTAAGTATAGACCTCCATATATATGTAGCCTTGCATAATTTACATTTTTCACTTAACAGATCATAAACATGTTTCTGTGTTTTAAAATATTGTTCAAAATCATGATTCCTGATGGCTTCATGATCTTATGGATATACGAGGTATCATAAGTTATTTGATCATTTCTTCATTACTGAATAAGTTTTTGATTTTTTTACATGTCAAAGCTGTAATATAAGTAAAGCAAAGACTGTTCACATTAAAGTCACTAATGAAAATAAAATTTAATTATGTCACTGTTTCTCTTTCACCTGAGTACGTCAGGTGTTAAATATATATGTTAGGGCTGGGGATTCAGGTCAGTGGTTCTGCTGCCTGCCTTGCAAGCACAAGGTCCCGAGTTTGATCCCCAGTACCAAAAAAATATATATATATGTGTATATAAATATATATGTATATACAAATATATAGGTGTTAAATATATGTGTGTGTATATATGTTGAAGTATATTTCCACTAGTGCAGAAAATCTAAAGTAGATTTATTTGAGAAGATTTTAAGATAGGAAATTTTGCTCATGTTTTCACTTGAAATTGTATTTGTCCCCTTTGTGTCCCTTGTAAATCTTTTCTGATGGAGAAAAATATTTCCTCTCCCTATACATTTCCTACAAAGACTGTATTCTCTCTTTCTTTGCTTCCCTCCTTTTCCCTCCCTCCCTCCCTCCCTCTTTCTCTCTCCTTTCTTTTTGGCAGTACTAGGGATTGAATCCAAAGGCTTATTTTTCATTTTGAAACATCATCTCACTGCATTGCTCAGGCTGGGCTTGAAGTTGTGATCCTCCTCAGCCTCCCACAGTGCTGGGATTATTAGGCCTGTACCACCATGTTTGGTTCTGAAAAGACCTTTCTTAGCATAGTACTAAGCAGGGCATATGATAGGTCATATAATTTATATGTGTATAATAGCTAGCATGATGAATGCTTTGATGACCATGAAACTCATTAGCTTGTATTCCTCTTAAGAAAAACACTGGCTGGACATGGTGGTGCATATCTGTAATCTCAGCATTTGGGAGACTGAGGCAGGAGGATCACTTTGAGTTTGAGGCTAGCTTGGGCTACGTAGTGAGTTCAAGGCCAGCCTGGACTACATAGCGAGACCTTGTCTTAAAAAAAAAAAAGTAAGACAACACTGAGAAAGAGAAAGAAAAAAGAGACTATGAACAATACTAAAGCCAAACTAAAGCAAACAAACAAAAAATAAAAGATAGAAATATCCCACCAAACACCTGGAGAACATTCCAGTGAAACTTCAGTGGGAAAGTTAGATATTAATCTGTCCTGAAAATTGTGCCGTTTCTAGAAAAGGAAATAAGAACTATGATTTTTTCTCTATTCCATATGTAGTACCATGTAGTCATGTAAATAATTTATAACATTTACACACAGACACACAGACACAGTGTACGTGCATGTACTCTCATACAGTCGTCTACAGAGACTGCAGATCATAACACCATGGCAGTGATTCACTTCGGGAGATAATTCCTGAGCATCCGCGATGGGCTACACTTTACACAGCTAAAAAAAGATGTGAAACAATCCCTGCTCTCAAGGATTGCTGTGTGATTGTAGCACAGTAGGAGGAGAATTGAGTCACAAGGAGATGATCAATGCAGGTGCCCTAGGGATTGAACAGAGTTTGGTGAAGTGGGATGGGGCTGCATGTGAGCTATGCACTGTTTATTTCTTCAGCCGGAACCACCCCTTGTGAGCTCCAGATCAGGTGGCCAGCTCTGTACTCAGCATCTCTGTGAGCTTCTCAAATGTGACTGGTATAAAATAAAGTTCTTGGATTTGTTCCCGGATGCAGTACATGGCACCCTAGTGAATGACTTGATTTCCTCTCCCTCAATCCTCAATTCCAGGCCATCCGCAGGTCCTGCCACGAACCTCACATCCCGTCTTCTGTACATTTTCATTACCTCTGCAGATAACTGAGCCTCTGTTATTTCTAAAGCAGCTCCAGTTCCAACCTTCCCCTTTCTTAATCTGCCCTCCACAGAGTGGGTAAAATAATCTGGCTGCTCTGTTGACCTCCACTGCAGCTTCATCCTGTTTCTTTCTCTGAATATACTTTCTAGCTATGATGGCCCCCTGGGAATTTCTAGAACATTCTTTTATTTTAACAAATGGAAAAACTCTTCCACTTGCTCTTCACTTGACTGGTTTCTTCCTTCACCTCCAGATTAGTTTTGCATTCTTTGTGACAAATCACCACAAATTTAGTGGCTTAAAACGGTCTGCATTTATCCTCTCACCATTTCCGTGGAATGAAAGTCTGGACACAGGGTGGTGGGGTCCTCCTCTCAGGGACTCACAAGCCACGTTCACCGTCAGCTGGTCCACACCCTTTCTCAACACAGCTGTTGGTCTCTTGAAGGCCAGCTGGAGAGCGTCTCCTGCTTTCATTCTCCCCTTCAGGAAAGGCTTGAAACTTTTTTTTTTTTAATACCCGGGATCGAACTCAGGAGGCAGGTGGCAGCACTGAGCTAAATCCCCGGCCCAGGTGTGGAACTTTTAAAAGGGCTCAGAGTCAGCAGAGTGGGACTTGGAAGTCCTTCCGCCTCCTCTGTATTCAGTTAGAAGTACATTGTGGGATCTTCCAGCCCGAGGGCCAGGGTTCATTTAGCGCCTGCACATTAGAGGATGTATCCTCCAGGGCCGTGTTAGACTCCTGCCTGGCCCACCCTCCTGGGCCTCCTCTCGGGCCTCCATGTCAGGTCCCCTCTGTCGCTCCATCTAGTGAGTCACAAATGCAGTTCTGATTACTGTTTGGTTTGTCTCCTTGTTTATTACCAGTCTCTCCCCATCATGGATGAAGAGCTCCATCTCTTGAGCCCTCTGTTGTCATCCCAGCACCCTCTAATGCCTGAAATGTTGTTGGCACTCATTTAATACCTGCAAGGCACCTAGACATCTGACTTTCTGGCTGGACTACGTGCAAGTTGTGGTTTCAACACTCATTGCCAAGTTATGATAGAGAAAGACTGGCTGTCGGTGGCACAGAGGAGGAAGGCGAGACCTTCCTGTCCCCAGGTGTGTGGCCATAGGGACCGCCAGGCTGCGCTGCTCCCTTGCCTCCTGGTTTGGCTGTTTAGAAACTACAAACTGCTCCTTTCCTCCCCCTCCTCTCTTAAACCCTAACAGAGGGGTTCAGTAATCTCTATCTGAGACCTAACTATTAATTATTCCACATGATTGCTGCTTACTCTTCCCACAATGCACATATTGTGTTTCTCTGTTTAGGAGAAGTGACCCTTGCCAACTTTTTATTGCTTTACCTAGATTCTCGGATTCTTGGCAGTCTTTTTTTTTTTTTTAAACTAGTAGTTCAAAGGGAGTCACAGATAAGTGCTGGCATGCTCTTTCGCCTCATCAGGAGACACCCAAGGGCTGGGGAGGTTGTAGAATGGCCTCGCAGTGAAGGGGAAGGTGGATGGGCGGATGTGCATTGGTAAAGGGAAGAGCTTGAAATGGTAAATCGCAAAATACTGGGCTTAGGGGCCACGTGCTTTTTGCGATAGTATCTGACTCTCATGTTTAGACTATCTGTATTCCTCCCTCACGAACTCTCCTATACCTTTGTAGTCCCTTAATTACAGTTTCAAAATGACATCACCTCTTGTTTTTTCCCTCAGGCCCCTTGCTTCCTGGGGCCTGGGACAACTCTCTCAAATTGTCCATCGGCTCCAAGAGTCTTGGACATTCCTGCTGGCTCTTCCAGTTCAGCATTTCTCAAACCACTTTTGGGGTGTGCTCTTGCAGGGGTCTGTGTGCGAATAGTTCCACATTCTTGACAGTGTCTTCCCTGGGGAGAGTCTTAGTACCCATCAGGATGCAAGAGGGTCTCAGAAACCTTTCCAGTCTGGTTCAGCTCAGTGTGTGTCCAGTTCACAGGCACACAGAGCACCGTGCTATGTATGAACTCACAGTGTTGAGCCAGAAGCCAGATGTGGAAGTTCAAGTCTGGGCTGTGCCCCCTCCAGGGGTCTGAATTTGGGCCAGTTCCTTTACCTCTCTAGACTTGAGTTTTCCCCCTTGTGTGCTGAGGCCAGAACATGTCTCCGTAACACTGTGATGAGGATTAAACAAGACGAAGTGATTATTAACATAGCATCTAGCACAAAGTGAATGCTGATTAAAAAAATAAATTAGGAGCTGGGGATGGTGGTGCACGTCTGTAATCCCAGTGCTCTGGGAGGCTGAGGCAGGAGGGTCACAAGATAAAGCCCAGCCTGGGTGACTCAGTGAGACCCTGTCACAAAATTTTTTAAAAAAGGTTATGGGGTGTGTGTGGCTCAGTATGAAGTGCTTGGGTTCGATTCCCACTGCTACAAAATGAACAAATTAGGAGATGCTGGTCTTACACACTCAGATCAGATATAGATACTTTCTGTCCGTCTATTTGATTAGCACACCCAATCTCCTGGTCAGACTTGGAATAACCTTAGGTTTGATTACCAGCCCCCACTTTCCCCTCTGTTTAAGCAACTACTGAAATTGCTTTAAGAGCCTTTCCCTAAATTATTGAAAAATTCTTGAATTCTTTTTGTCCAGTATGTGATCTTCCCTGGCATTAGGTCTCTAAAGATGAATCTCTCTGCCTGTTTTTCATTTCTCTTTGTTTCCCTCCCTCCATTCATCCCTTCTTCCTTCCTTCTCTTCTTCCTTCTTTTTTTTGGTACCAGGGATCAAACTCGGGACCTTGTGCTTGCGAGGCAGGCGGTGGAACCACTGAGCTAAATCCCTGGCCCCTCTTCTTCCTTCTTTTCCTCAACTGCTAATCCTCTGCCCCCTTTTTTCTCAGGAAGTATTTATTGAGAACTTACTTATTGAGTTACTTATTTTGATCTTTCTGAGACAGGCTCTCCCTATGTAGTTGAGGCTGGCCTTGAACTTGGAAATTTAGACCACCCTGTGGCCTAGGAAGACCCATGCGAGCCGAGACAGCCAAGCAGAAGTGTGCAGGACAGGGCCGAGTGAGAAGTTGAGAACTGAGGGGTGGGCAGAGCTCCGAGAGAGCAGCCTGCATCCTTGCCACTGCTCACCAAGTGCAATTTCATGTAATGTGTTGGCTCAGGTGCTCCCGTTAGGAGTTTTCTCTGTCTTGGGCCTTGAGCTCCCTGGGAAAAGATGAAGAGAGCCGTGGCCTTGACACAAAGTGATTGAAGATTTATCCAGTGACTTGATGTGCACAGGTAGCATAAGGCCAGCAGGAAAGTTAAAGTGTGCACATATAATCTGAAGAGCCAGGTTGGTAGCTCATGCCTGTAATTCCAGCACTCAGGAGGATGAGGCAGGAGGAGCATTGTGAATTGAGGCCAGCCTGGGCTGTGTGGTGAGTTCAAGGCTGCCCGAACTACATAGTGAAACCCTGTCTCACAAAACAAAAGGAAACAAAAAATTGGCAGGAAGAAATCATAGTATGCATAGCTTGCAAATGGATGCTTCAATTATTTTTCAGCTTCTGTCACACATAGAGAAACTTCGAACCTCAATGATAGATGATCTAAATGCAAGTAATGTTTTCTACAAGAAAAGGATAGAAGAGCTAGGCCAGAAACTCCAGGAGCAGAACGAGCTGATTATCACTCAGAGGCAGCAGGTATGTCTGGCAGTTGCCTGGTATACCAGAGTTCTTTAAGCATCGAAGTTTATCAAAGAACACAAGTTTTTTTTTTTTTTTAGCTTAGACCATTTGTAGGTTGTATAAGGTAAAGAAGCTGGACTATTTCCCCCATTGCAATAACTTATAAATTGAAATAAAAATTTTAAAAAGGTATTTGAAAATATTGTAGAGCAGATTTATTCCACTAAAATTCAGAATACATTTGATGGTAGATCAGAAGTAGCCAAGTCCAAATATCCTACTTTTATTTATAAAACTTGCCTCTGTGTTTTAAAGTCCATGTGCCCTGTGTCTTTGGATGATTTAGCAAACAGGTTAATTTCCTAACAACTGTTTCTAGCCATTATCCCGTCTGTTCCTGTTTCATTCCAAGCGTGAATCGATAGAAGACTTTTTTTTTTCCAGATTAAAGAGTTTACCAGTAAACCATTAAGCAGTGTCAGTGAAGCCAAAGGTAAGTGGACAAGATCACTGTGGTAACCACGCTGGCAGAGAACTCGAGCCTCTCTGACTCATGTGCCCGTTCCTCTGGGTATTTGAATCTAGGAGATCTGTCCTCTTGATACTTTAACATTTGGGAGATCTCTTACCACGTCACAGAAAGTTGAAGAATTTTAAAAACTTCACACTGTCATTTACTAGTTTCATTTTTTAAAATCAGAATACACTGTACCTGCTCAGTAACCATTTACCTCTAGTAAGACAGAGTTATGGTTGAAAGCACGGGGTCTGGAGATCATCTGGGTTCAACTCCCATCTTTGGCACTTTGTAACTTCGAAGATCTCTGCTCAGTTTTTGTAGGCTTGTTCTGAGGATTAAGTGGGATAGCCCATGTGAGGAACACCTGTTAATACGGGTGCATCAGTGCCAGCTCTTATGATCCATATTAAAACATTATTCTAGAGTTCTGTGAGGGCTTCTTGTGCTATCCTGGATTGAGGATGGAGGTTGGTTCCGAGTGTGGTGGGGGTAAACAACCTTCCGAGGGGACCAATGATAGCTCGGCCGTCTCCTGTCAGTCAAGAGCTAGACCAGAAGGGAGATCAGACCCCCCAACAGCAGAGCCTGAAAGCTGCCCTTCTGCCAGGCCTTGTGCCCCGAGATTCTAGCCTTGGTTCCTGCACCTGTCAGGTTGTTAAGGAATCTTTGCCTACTTGAGGGGGCCTGGGGTTGGGTACTGGGCTGTGTGAGATAGGTTTCCTTCCCTTTTGTTTTGAGATAAAGATTGGTGAAAAAGAGGATTGTAATTGCCTTTAACTTTTCTCGGACTAGTGACAGCTTAGATAATGAGGAATACCTGTGTAATAATATTAATCACTAAATTATTAACACCTGCATCATTATAATTATTTAGATATTATAAATATATGAATAAAGTAATTCTAGGAAAAGTTTAGCCTTAAAAAGATTCATGTTTAATATATCTATTCTCTTGGGTGAGATGCTTTATGTTTGTAAATTTCATGTTGTTTTTCTGGTGGGGAAAAGATTGCATAAAGGCTGCCAAAGTTTAATGCTAACTTGTGATTTCTGTTATTAACATTTTTTTTTGTTTATTCATTTCAGGGAATTCTTTAACCTGGCAAGCTTTTGAATCTAAGTCAGCTGCCCCAGCTGTACCTAGTAAGTTTCTATAATACGTTCTGGGCTCTAAAATATCTTTAAAAATGATAATCCAAGGGCCAGAGATTTAGCTCAGTGGTTCCACCACCTGCCTCAAAAGTGCAAGATCCTGAGTTCGATCCCTGGTATGGAAAAAAAAAAATCTAAGCTATAACTTTCACTTTTTTTGGTTTTTTGAGGCAGGGTCTCCTTTTGTAGTTCAAGCTGGCCCTGAACTCACTGTGAGCCCAGGCTGGCCCAGGTGGGCCAGGCAACGGTTAGACCTGCTGAGTGCTCAGGATTGGAGGGGCCAGGTCTGGGGCTGGCCGTGGAGGGACGACACCGCTCAGGTGGGGCCAGGACTCGCCGGAGGGCTCTGCAGTGACTGAAGGATGTTAATGAGTAGGCTCTGGAACTTGGCACAGTTGCCTCCTGGATAATGATAATGATTTTAACCATTCAGTCTTGTCTTGTGCTTCTCAAAGCTGAAGAGGTTGGAGGTGGAGAGGGGGACGGGAATAGGAGTGGGGGAGGAGAGAAGCTGAACTTATATCCTAGGAAATAAAAACAAAATTCATAGAAGGACGGAAAGGTTAAAAAAAAGAAAAGACTGCATTAATTAAACACCCACAATAACAACAAACTTCAGCCCAGTGTTTGGAGTGTTTTTCAGAATTGGTTTATTGTACATGAATTTCATTGCAGCATTATTCACAGTAGTCCAGAAGTGGAAACAATCTAAATGTCCATCAACCAATAAATAGATAATAAAAATGTGGTCTTTTCATATAACAGAATGTTGTTGGACCCTAAAAATCCATGCTGACATTGTTGGGTACAGTCGTACACGCCTGGAATCCCAGCCCTCTGGGAGACTGAGGCAGGAGGGTTGCAAGTTTGAGCCCAGTTTAAGACCCTGTCTCAAATTTTAAAAAATTTGTTTTAAAGGGCTGGGGATGTAGTTCAGTGCAAAGGCCTTGACTTCAATCCACAAAAGACTGTATACCTTACGATTCTATGTATGTGAAATGTCCTGAATAGGCAAATTCATAGAAACAAAAGGAGGATTAATTTTTGCCAAGAGATGGGGCTTCAGGCACAAATGAGTTATGATGCTTAATAGGTGCAGGTATTTCGGCAGTTGAGGTGATGAAAATGTTCTAAAATTAAAAAGTGATTATGTTTGCACAATTCTATGTGTATACCAAAAACCCCTGAATCATATATTTTTAAAAGGTAAGTTGTATCTGAAGGAAGCTTTTATAAAAATTACTTAAGGTTAGTTATATGATGCCTGTCATTTGAGCATTTGTCTCTCGTGGTCTGTATGTATAATGACTAATTTGAGGAGTATTTGATCAGCATGTACAGAGCCTTGTGTCTTAATGATGGGGCTTTTACCTTTTATGCTTTTTCAGTGAATGCCTCCACCCCTCAGACTCTGGAAGTCAAATCAAATCTAACAATGGCACATGGTAAGTTTCAGCAGTAGTCTGCATTTTACGTGCGGTTTCCACCCTGAGTCAGATAATTTATTAACTAAGGTTCTGGGGGTTGGGCTAATTATGTAAAACAGAAAACACTTTAGTGATTACAAAACAGTTAATAAAACTGCAGGGTTTATATGTACTATTATTACAAACTAACTCTATCTACCCAAGTCATAAAATATTAGATGTATATATTATCAGACTAACAAATAGAGATTTTTAACTTTGAGTGCTATCTTGCTTATTTATGACTTTTGTAGTAGGTACTGAATAAGAAGGAGGGTGATTTGCTACTAGACCAGCCAGCTAGCACATGCCACAGGGCATATGTGATTGTTTTTATAACTTTGTATCAAGTCACCTTTTCTAAACAAACAGCTTCAGTGATTGGTTAGGAAAATATAGGGGGAAAAAAAAAACCAAACGTGGTGGAAACCAAAGGAAATAAGTAGGATGAAGTTTCACTAGATGAAATTATTGCCAGGAGTCAGTTCTTGGACCAAGCCAAGGGGTTCTAATTGTTATTAACATGATCCAGTAGATGGGGTAAATAATTGTAGCTGTATTTTGCTTTTTGTACAACAAAGGTGCATATAGTTTTCATAGCTGTGTATTATAATTGAATCAAGGAGAAGAGAATTATCTTTTTCCTGTCTTATCTAGAAATACTCTAGAATGTAATGATTACTTCCTGCTACTTTTGCTTTAGGCTTTTGAAAAAGACTTAAATCTCTGATCTAAGCAGTCAGCTTCGTGGGCCAGTCTGTCTCCCTAAATGTCTGGTCTATATATGATAGTCTTTAGTGATGATCCTTTTTATTCATGACTGACTCATTAAGTATTTTATTACTCCTTATTTTTTTCCTAAGATCATTTCAGGAGAATCACAGTATGTAATACATAAATTCTCCACATACTGGATCTTGTTACATACAAGTGTTGAGAACATGTAGTTTTTTCCTTTGGGTCTATAACAGATAATTTGCATGATGGACATACATAAATTTGCTTTAATATTCATTATACAAGAAAATTATTTCTTGCAATCATTGTTTATTTTCTCTTGCTTCCTTCTTTTAGGGTTGATTTTGGTAAAGGTTATTGGTTATTAAACCTTGGAACTTCAACAGTGTATTTTAGATTCTTTTCTTTTTTCTCACATTGTTATTGCTAACCTTAGGAATGGCATTATACACAGGCCATATTTTCTTTTTTGCATATCTTTTTGTTGCTCGATAAAGGACACCAAATAGATGCATGAAGCTGTTTGGGGCTCATTCAAGGGTCCTGATGTCTCTGTCAGTTCCAAAGCGCCTGTTCTATATGGACCCTGCCTGGATTGGCCCAGGGCCCCAAGAAGCAGTCAGGCCACCTTCCTGGCATCTACTGAAATTGAATTACTAGTTTTAAATGCCGGGGAGATCTGGAAAGAGGCCCACAGGCCTTGGGTGGGGAGCAGAGCTGCTTATGAGCATCTCCGTGGATAGGAGGTAGGAGGAGGTTTGGTCAGAGCCCACTCATGTCCCCACCCGGCCATGGCCTCTTCTCCAGGGGGACACAGGCAGGGAGCAGTTAGTCATGTGTTGTGTGATGTTCGTCAGTTCATTCACACTCCATCTGGTTCCATCTCAGACCTTGAAGAGGTTCTCCGTCATGAAAAATGTCATGATTGCTGACTGTCTTAGTTTGGATTCACTGCGCATAGACACTGAGGGGCAGATTTGCCGCCAGGAGGCAGGATTGGATGAAGGGGTTGTTGAGCACACATTCAGGTGCAGTGGCAGCCTCAGCAGCCCTACTTTAGAGTCCTAGGGCTGGCCTGGTCACTCAGGAATTGTCCTCCATGAGGCAAGGGATGGCAAGGGATGGCAAGGAAATTTGCCCCTGTGCTGGTCTGTTGCCAGCTATAGGCTTCCTCGAGGAGAAGATAGTCTGCTCTCTCCAGCTGAGGGCACTTCGTGGAAGGGACAGTGCAGACTGCCATGAGCCAACATTGGCAGCACATCTGCCCTAAGGGGGTTTGGGTAAAAATGAGAACTCTGATAATTCCCCTGCTACACCAGCTGAGCATCAGAGACAGTAAATTCTGATTCTAAGACGCTCAGTAGAAGGAAGCATGGATTCTGGAGAAAACAGATGATCATGCTTGGTTGCCATTCACTAAATTTTTCCTGGAAAACAACTCAGATTTTTAGTAGTATTTATATCACTGGAGATCGCATTGCTCAAGGAGTTGTGATATTACAATGCCCACAAAATAAAATATACTTTGTTGTTATTAAACCAACCCATATGCCAATTGCTTAGGTTGGCCTGATAGTGTGGGACCCTTTTAGCGTGACGGGCAAAATATCTATCTTCTTGTAGGAGTGAGGATGCAGAATCACCTTTTGCAACACCTATGGGCGCCTGCTAAGTTTTACAGACACGTAAATATCTCCTTAATTTGATGTATATATTGTGAGGGGTTGATGTGCGCCCAGCTTTATGATATAGCTAGAATGAGGGCCACAGAAACGAGTGGTTAAAAATGAGCAACTGCCCTAAGTCGTTAAGTGTGTATAGTTGGTTTTCAAAAGGCACAAAGTTTTTTTAAATTGGACTTTATAGTTACTATATTTTTTCCTCAGTATAAATAGCTTACATCTTGAAATACTAAAACTTAATGCAGTACTTTCATTTATTGTCCAGTATGTGAAAAGTAGAAATATTTTAGAGTTGTGGTGTCTCATGACTTATTGGGAAGGAAGATGGCTTCCCCTCTGAGTACCATTGCCTGAACTCTTGGGGAAACGGGTTGACGATTGTTGAAGGGACATCTCTGTTCAGTAGGACTGGACCCTTTAGATGAGAATGGATTGGAGCCCTGCCAAGTGACCATGCTTACATGCAGTTGCAAAGGGAGATTTATGCAAGTGGCTGACATCCTAGATTTATATTCTGAGAGAGCCTGGAAATCTTCAATGGACTCTTATCCCTTAGAGAAGAGTTTAACATTCCTCTTCATAATGGTGGCACTTCTCTACAGTGTCTGATGCCACTCCTGCCTTCCTTCCCGGTCACAGACCACCGAGCAATGATGGATAGCTATGGGCTCCCCCTTTTTGTGTATGGTCAAGGGTAGGCACAAGAGATAGATAAGTCAGAAACAAAGTCTTCCCCCAGGACATCTACAGTCTATTAATGAAATGCTTATAATTCTGGTACAAAGTGAAAGCCATTGATAAACTAAGTGGTATTATTTTGGGGACTCTGGGAAGACTTCTGGAGCGGCTGACCTTTGGCCATTTGAGTTATAGATTTGAACATGAACATGTAGGGATGGTGTCCTAGGCAGGGTCAACAGTAGGAGGGAAAGGTAGCAGGAAAGCACTCAGTGTGTTAATGGTGCAGATTTATTACTGGGCTGAGCACAGAATGCAGATGAGGTTTGAAGGAAACAAAGTTGGCTCAGCCCTCTCATGGCATTTTTTGAGTGCCAGACTGCAGCTGTCCAGGTCATCTGGGCAGTGGATGCCTGCTGAATATGCTGGAGGCTGGGCGTGCAGAACTGAAGAACTGGGCTGTAGACAGTTGGCCTGACCAGAGCGTGTTCAGAAATCAGAGCTGGGGAGTTGGTGATCATGGATATGACATTCCTCCCCTAGGAGTTGGGCTTGTGATGACCAGACTGCAGAAGAGGGAGTGAACAAACAGCTGTTGAGTGGAATGGATGGAAAGGCTTAGCCAGTGATTGGGGAGGAGGGCAAGGGGGGGGGGTCAAGCATGGTGAGCTCTGATACTGGCGGATGGCATTGCTATTTGGAGAAGTCAGGCAGACAAGCACCAGTAGGAAGGCCAAGAGGCAGGATTTTGGAAGCAGATGGTCTGGATTCACAGCCAACTCTAAAGCTGTGGGCTTGGGTTTCCTTACCTGACAAGTGAGGAAAACAGTAATGGCTACCTTGGGTCAGATGAGGCATGAGCCACTGAGGAAGCCCTGACTCAATGGTAGCTGCTCAGGTAGGATGATGAAGTCTATTTGAAAGTCAGTAAGTGGGAAGAGGGGCAAGACTGGCTAGAGTTCTGGGAGCCTTTCTTTTGGAGGTAATGGCAGGAGACTGAGGTAAGGAATTTTCTGGACGCCTCCAGCAAGTTCAGGGGAGACTCAAGCCTCTGAGTGTTTCAGCTCTCACCCTGGAATCTCAGCACTGGAGCTGGGATGAATGGAAGCTGCCCTGTGGCTTCCACAGCCCCAGAGTGGCAGCCCTTCTTCCCCAGTGAGGTCTGTCGGCTTGACTGGGAGCTGGAGTGTGGTCAACCTCATGTTCTCAGCCTGTGTGGTAATCTAACCTTCCAGAATGATCTCTTGCACCACAGAAGGAAATAGTCAGGACTTTGGCAGTTTATCCTGCCTCTAGAAAAATAAGTCACAGGACTATCCCAATAACAGAATAATAAATGGGTGGATGATGATTTTGTCAAGGTTTTATCCCAAATTCCCTTATACCCTTATTTTGTCATCTTCATAAAGTATAGTAAAATGTAAACAATATGACTTTTTGTTTGTTTGTTTGTTTTGCAGTACAGGGGATCGAACTCAGGACCTTGTGCTTATGAGGCAAGAGTGCTGCCACTGAGCTAAATCCTGGGCAAACCATGACTTTTTTAAAAGCTGAAATTAGTTGTCCTTCCTAAATCTCTATTTTCAGCAATTCTAACTAGTAAAGTAACCTATTTGTATAGTTTGAGAATCTTAATGCTGCATAACAAATTTGAGAGGCACCGTTTTGATGTTCAGTAGTTATGGTACCTGGATGGACTTAAATGCTCCAGTAGACCATGTTCCAAAAGTTGATTCGAAAGTACTGTGATTTAAAATGCATTTCTCCCAGATAGCCAGTTAGGTATTGGTATTGGGTTTCTGGTCAAGCAATAAGAGCCACTTTATATATACGTAATCCAACCACTCATGTATCCATCCTTCCATCCATTTATAATACAGTAAGTACCCTTAAATAAATTAAAAATTGGACCTTTCTAAGTAAGAGGATTAGATCTGTGCTATCTTAGATTCATTCCTAGTCACCTGGTGAGCACTCAGTAATTTTTGCCCATTGTTAACCTGGCCCATCACCTACTCGTGGTCCTGGGATGAATGAAATGACCTTCACCTTGGGAGTGAGGTGGGATTTGGGGTGGGGTGGGGGTCTCTGTGTCAGTCTCCAAGCTGAAGTTTAGTGAACTATCCACCACCCAAGCCAGACTTGCTGGTTGCACTTTGTTCCATTTGTATAATGCCTGACTGCCATTGATACACCTTCTCCATCAAGGAAATTGCCCTGTTTGTAGTTCGGGACTAGGTTTTATTTATGCTGCTGGTAGGTTTCCTTATGCATGCAGGTAACATTTCCTTGGGAAAATTCATCAGAGTTCTCATCTCCCTGGACACAGTGCCAGTCGGGGTGCCGTTGGGAGCAGTCAGTCCTTCACCTGCCCAGCTGCGGGGTGTGAGTCTTCTCCAGCCCACCCCCTCACCCTTACTCCAGGAGCAGAATGGGGGTTTGGAACCTGAGTTAGGTATGGGGAGGCATGTAGGAATTAATCTGTTGTACTCTTGCTGCTGATCTGTCTTTGGGTTCTACCACTTGAAGTCCTTGAGATTACAGCAGGAAGTAGGAATCCAGGGCCCCAAGATTTTTTTTTTTTTTTTTTGTACCGGGGATCAAACTTGGGACCTTGCACTTGCAAGGCAGGCGCTGGAACCACTGAACTAAATCCCCGGTCCAAGATTTTTTTTTTTTTTTTTGCAATTGAAATATTTACACACCTGATCGAAACATTTTATAAGTGAGACGATCTTTTGCATTTGTGTCCTTGTGTTTTAAATAGGTTGATGAGGGAGGAGCTTTAACTTGATTACAATCATATCTTGGTACTCGACTGCTTTGAAACTCATGGAATCTGTTACTTGAAGCGTTTTGATGCAAAAATTTTGTCCTGGTTCTCATCACAGGCAAGATAGAACTGATTGATGTCAAGTGCCTCTTTCTTGCTATCTTTCCAGCCAAAACAATTCGTTTGGTCCTCATTTTTAATACTCATGATATCTCCTGGAACCAATGAATGCAAATACAAAGGTTCCACTGTATTTAAAAATAAAATTTTTTTGAGAGTGGAGTTAATGGAAGACACAGAAGTTGAAAATTCTAGGAGAAAGTGACCAGTTTTAACTGACTGCCTTGATGTTTTGTCCCAGTAGATTCTTGCTATGTAAACATTCTATACAATTTAAAAATAATATCTTCCAATATTGTTTGAGAGGAAACTAATGTTACTTTGTTGATGTCCTGTTTGTATTATTCTTATTTTTCCTCATTAATAGAACAGGCATTTTCGTCGCACATACTGGAACCAATAGAAGAACTTTCAGAGGAAGAAAAAGGTAACAAAGGACTTGATCAGGGTTTACCTGCATAGATGATATTGTTATGTTAAAACCCAAGCCTTGAAAATACAAACCAGTGGTTCATATCAAAATTAGGAAAGACATTTAGGTTTGGATACATTTTGTTACCTTATTTCTCTGATTTATTTTTCCTGCTTAGTTGCATTCTTAATGGAGGTAGATTAATAGGAAATTCCCTGTATTAGGGAACTTGAAAACAAAAGGTCTTTATAGTATTTCAATGCACATATTTTCCCATCAGATGACACATTGACCCACATTCTGCCAGATGATATGGAACTTTCTGTATCAGAGTGGTGATCTCATACCCTAAATCTGAAATCAGTGAGTAAAGTGCCTATTTCCAAATTATTTTAATATCAAGAAAAACAGGTCTAAGCTGTTGATGTGGAAATTATTGTGCAAAATACCTGCATGGTAAAGTTTGGGTGCTACTACACGTTTTGGGAGATAAAATTACTGCTTATTTTACTTAGCATTTCTAGAAATAATTATTAACTTTTGAAGTTTATGAAAATATATAATTTTATAAAGATTTTTTAATAAAGAGTTTTTAATACTAGACTTGTAGATTCTGAAAACACCTATGTTTGAATCAGCTTATCATAATTTTTTCCTTAATAATAATAATAGTTTACCATATATTACTTCTTTAGGAGAAAGTAAATTGTTAATTTATATGCAGGTTCTAGTTTTGTAATTTCTATCAAGAAGTAAAATTATATATTCTAGTATGTAAACTCTTAATACATCTTACAACTTCTGTATCGTCTAGAGTTCTACCAAGTTTTACAACAAATTTTATAAGGCTGTAAACTGAGATTTGACCAAAGCAGGTATATTTATAATATCTACATTATGTGTATTTTCAAACCTTGGTCTTGCTAGGATCATCGGTACTTTTTGCTGTTAATAGGATTTGTTTATTTTGCTTCCATATATCTTTGCAACTTGTCTTGACTCTCTATGTATTAGACTAGTTGAGGATTTCATATCTTCTCACCCAAGTAATTGCTCATAGCTGCCACTGATTTTATTTTTTATTTAGTTTTGGTTTATTGAGACAGGGTCTTACTATGCAGTTCAGGCTGGCTTGAACTATGTAGCCCAGGCTGGCCTTGAACTCATGGTGATCCTCCTGCCTCAGCCTCTGGAATGCTGGGATTATAGCCATGCACTACCATACCCGGCTTTGTCACTGATTTTAAAACATCTTATTTTAGTTGCCTAATTTCTCATTGTTTTGTAATTGCTGTACCAATGTTTAGAAACCCCTTTGTTTCAAAACAAGACTACAGAAAAATTATACTAAAAAAATACAAAGTTCCTGAGGGAAATTTAGGGGTAGCCTAGTAAGCATAACTTTAATGAGCGAGAGTATCGCCCTGTAATGGGATGCTTGCTTTGTACTGTCAGAGAAAGATGGGGTGTGATGGGTCACGACCAGTCACCCCTGTGGCCTGAAGGGTGGCCAGCGCCCAGGCATGGAAGCAGTGCCTGCTGGCCAGTCCATTCCACAGCTGAGACTTTGTGGAGGTACAGTGTTAGCTACTATTGTACAGTCAGTTGCCAGTAGTTCGAAATCAGAATATTTCACAGGAACATCCTACTTTCTGGCCTCTCTCGCAAAAATGGAAACACTGGGCATAAGATCCATTTTAGCAGCATTTAGCAGGGCTGTATAGCAGTCTCCAGCTGTATACGCAGCCTCAGACTGCCGTAATCCCTCCCCTTTTGTCCCCTACATGGCCTTCTTTGTTTTGTGTAGGCATAGGAATTAGGGAGTCCTATCTGTAAAGAGAAATAGTACTTAAAAGCATTGTTTAAGTGATTTTCAGCCATTCCGGGTGGTTTCCTGGAGATGGGACGAACCAATCTTACCCTGCTTGAATTCTGAATAATGATACGTCATTATTATTGTGCAAGGAGCATTGTTCCGTTTTCCTACCTGCATATCATTTATGAATGTCCAAGGCATAGAATCCCTTACTCTTTGAAAATTTGGGAAATGAATCCAGAGGTTCAGAATTCAGAAGTTCAGCTCCTGTAGTTCACACACTTAAAAAACAAATTGACAAGGGCTGTAGGAGGAACCGTGATTTCTCTACCATCACCCAGATGAGCCTGTTGACCTCCATTTCCGGGTTCCACTCACTGCATCAATGTACCTGTGCAATTGGAGTTCTGCCCAACATGAGACAAGAGCTTGGGATCATTGCCAGCAAACCTCATTGTTGGTTGTTGCCATTTGGGCACCAAAGTTGCCACCATTGGTTGTTGAAGAACTGGATGAGGAAAGAAAATAGTCTTTCAGTTGTAGCTCTGGGGGGAGACTGAGTTCTGAGGACCACGAAAAGCACCCCAGAGCCCAAGTGCTGCAGAAACCAGTCATTGTGTTCTTCTAGCACCTTGTGGTGTCAGCCTGCTGGCAGCAGATTAATTACCATCAGTAAATTCCTCAGCTTGTGCTAACACTTTGCAGATAAACGCTGGTGGAGCTAAATTTTTGCAGTGCTTTGCAAAAACACTGTGGCTGTTCCTAAGAAATAACCTGACACATGCACATTTCTGCGCATAGTACTTGCAGTTGTGAGGAGGCACATTTGACCTTGCTGTTTTATAGGATATTAGATTGTGAGGCCCACAAGGGTGCTCAGAGCCCATTTTATTTTTCAAAAATTTGAAACACGGGGTTTAGGAGTCACCTTCAGGTTATTGGGTTTAGTTAGTGACCAGGCTAGAACTAAAGTTCAGGTATTTTGCTTTCTATAGTTTAATGCAAGGAACAAATGGAAAAAGCAAGCTGAGACAGCTATGTGGGCCTGGCTATGTGACCTTTGAGGGAATCCAATACTTAACCTGGTTTTAGTATCCTCACATAAAAAATGAGGAGGTTGGTTACCAGATGATACAGCTCAGAAATTGTTTTTAATTACTTGCTTTGCACTGTAATTATTTGCTTATCATAAATGGGCTGCTGTGTGTCTGATATACGTGGTCACATGTGTGGGCTGCTATGCTTTGGCCTGGCCATCTAGTTGCGTGCATTTTAGATTTTTTACTGAAGGACATGCTAAACTGTAGAAAGTTTTGTCTTGTTGAGAAATACATGCTTTACCTAAAATCTTTACCTGTGTTGTCTTTTCAAATGATTAATTGTACCTCTACCTAAAAACTTTATTTTTTTCTATGTAGACTCTCCATTCTTTTTCTTGCTTCCCTCAGCTAGCCCCAATCTTGAAAGAATTGCCTACCAAGGAGAGTTTGTTAATTATCCGTGAATGGCTTACCAACACAATGACAACATATAGAGTGGAATTGAGGGGCAAAGGGAAATTTTAATCTGCTATTCTTAGGTCATCAAAGGGAACTTGTCATGGGGTTGAGCATGACTCTGGACACATCAGGAAATGAATACAATAGCTGATATCCAAGGCTTTGAGACTTCTAAAATATGAATGGGCAGCTCTAGGCATCGCCTGATCCTTGTACAACAGGATCCTGTAAACAGGACTCAGGGCCTCTGCTTCAGCCATGCTTCTATGTACCTCCTTTTCTGTCTGAGATACTGGCCAAACATTGTCTTTGCATAATCGGGGCAGAGTGGTGACAGTGTGACTTCCAGGCTTTCTCTAGGTGCCTCTTTATTTTTGGCCGTACATAGTCGCAGATGGCAATAGAAGCCAAAGCAGTGAGGGACATAGTGGCTGGAGCTAAGCTCTCTGAATTTGGAAGGATTGTTCCTAGGACATAAGTACTTTTTAGGTAGTTTCAGAATTTTTCAAAACACTGATAGTCACTCTTAGCACAAGTGCTAAGAATATATAATTTAAGACGATTTCCTACTTTTAATCATATATAATCATGTACAATTTCACAGAGTATCTTCATGGCCTGGGGGTGTAAGTCAGTAGTAGAGCACCTGCTTTGCATGAGAGGGCTCCTGGGTTCCTTCCCTAGCACTTCCCTCTGCCCAAAAAATGTTGCTATGCAGGTTTTTTTCTTCTATTTAATGTATAAATAGTAATTTGCCTAATTTTGGTTTAAGTAAAATTTTATTAATAGAAATATTCTTTAGTACTGGACTTGAACAGATGTCTAGAATAAACATTTTATTTTGTTTTGTTTTGTTCTGTTCTTTTGGTACCGGGGATCGAACTCAGGACCTTGTGCTTGCAAGGCAAGCAGCAGAACCACTGAGCTAAATCCCCAGCCCTAGAATAAACATTTTACATGAAAGTTGTTTTGTTCAAGACCTTCAGTAAAACTGAGTGCTGTGGGAACTAAGAGTTTCTTCTACTGAGGTCGATGGGGTGGTGGAGGGAGTGTCTCTTGGGCCTGGCCTTGGCCCCATACCTAGGGAATGGCATTTGATGCAGCCCTTGTAGGATGAAATGCCCTCGCTCAGAGATGAAGCTTTGAAATAATAGTACAGTTGTAAATTTCGCCAACATCTGGCTTGGACATTCTCTAAGGGTCTGAACCTGCCAAACATTGGGTCTTTTTCATAAAGTCTTTGCCTACCTTGGATAGCACTCAGACTTTTAATCTTTCTTTTTTTTTGGTACCGAAGATCGAACGCAGGACTGACATTTGTGAGGCAGGTGGTGGAACCACTGAACTAAATCCCCGGCCCAGGACTCAGACTTTTAGAGGTCATGCCATCAATCCCCTTCTGCAAGCTCTCTTGAACTAGACTTTATTTTTGTTCCAGGGATCGGATTGAACACAGGACCTTGTGCTTGCGAGGCAAATGCGGTGCCACTGAGTTAAATCTCCAGCCCTAGACTTTTTATTTTAAGTGGGAAATAAAAGTGGAATTGGGTGGGCTGGCAGTGTAGCTCAGTGATAGAGTACATGGTTAGCATGTGTAAGGCCCATGGTTCCATACCCAGCACCACAAAAAACAAAACCAAAAACAACAACAAAAATCATGGGATAGGGAAGGATAAGGAAAGAGAGGGATATGGCCTGTTGTTTTTTGGTTTCTTTGTTTTTAACTATGGGTTGTTTCTTGTTAGCCTCTTTTTCATGTTGATAAATAGTTCGAGTTGATAATAATGGTCAAGTTTTGAAATTTTATATGCACCTAGCTTCTACTACAATTATTAATTTAAGTCTTGTAGTTATTTAAAATAAATTGAGCTTTATCTCTTCTCGGCCTTTTGGCTAAGATCAAGTGTAATAAATTGAGCTTTTTCTTCACAAGATTCCAACTGAATTTGTGATGGATTTTTCAGGAAACAAGGAAATAGTTTTAGTAATAAAACATTAAACTTCTAAAGACATTTTTTCCATTCTGCTTCTGTATATAACCGTATTTTAAAAACTGTTTGGCTATAATTCAGTTAAGCAACCGAGATGTTTTAGACACTGAAGTTTTTTTTTTTGTTTTTTGGGGGGTTTTTTTGGTACCAGGGATCGAACTCAGGTCCTTGCGCCTGTGCGGCAGGCGGCGAAACCACTGAGCTAAATCCCTGGCCCGACCCTGAAATTTTGAAGTGAACTTCAAATAGTTTGAGAAGCGACAAAAAATATATATATTGTGCTGAAGGACTAAACTATCCACAAAACTCAAAAACATTACAAATGCTTGCTTGGTGTTCTAAAATTGTGCTTTGTCATTTTCTGCTTAGAGACATAATGTATTTGTTTAATTCTCTTTTAACTCCTTTTTAACCTTATTTCAGGAAGGGAGAGTGAACAGAAATCAAGTAACAAGAGAAATTTAAGGAAAGTTTTGAAGATAAATCCCTCCCTCACTAAGGAAATAAAAACAGTCTTGGAGCAGAGCTTGGTGGAGAAACTGGAAACCTTGGGCATTAATGCAGTATGTTCACCCCTTTGTGGTATATTTTCTAATTTGCTATATGTTGGTTCCTAAAGCAGGATGGGTCAGAGAAGAGAGGAAGGCCTGTCAGTTCTGTCCATATTTGGAGAGCAGAGGTTGATATGACTTGCTGTCAAACACCTGGATGCTATTCATTTGTGTGCCTATTGCATTTCTAAGACCTTCACAAACACTGACTCGATTAAATATAGAAACAAGTCTCAGAAATAAGTGGCATTATTATCTGCATTTTGTAAAAAGGTTAAGTAACTTGATTAGGGTCACATGACTCGTAAGGAAGAAAGCTCGGCAGGGTTTGTATCCAGGATGGTCGCAGTGCAATGTACAATTCTGATATTAACCTCAGATCATTGCCCCTCACAGATCCACACTTGGTAAATACTTGTGGAATGAAAGGATAGATGAATTGTATTTCTTTCTTTTTTGGTACCAGGGATTGAACTCAGGGCCTTGTGCTTTCGAGGCAGGTGGCAGCACCACTGAGCTAAATCCCTGGCCTGAATTGTGTTTCATATTGTTTCCAGAATGAATATTTCAGCACATCATATTACATATAAATTCTTTCTGCTTTCTACATTTTTTTTTTTTTAATGTGGTACTGGAGATTGAACTCAGGTCCTTGAGCTTGCGAGGCAGGCAGTGGAACCACTGAGCTAAATCCCTGGCCCTGCTTTCTACATTTTTAATCAGTATACATAAAATACACAAATCTTATCAACTTGATTGATTTTTATACCTATAAATATACATGTGCCTGCCTATTGTATATGTATAAATAAATATGTGTAAGCAAAAATATGTGAATGCATATACATGCATGGACACACACGTAGGCACAAACATCCGTGTACATCATGTATCTGCTTGATAGGTGGTCATGTATAGTGTATGCATGCATACAAGTATATGAATGCATGTATGAGTAAACATACCTGGATATATTTGTGTGTGTGCATGTTGTGTACTTATGGTATTGTGTGTACATGGATTGTGTGTGTACAGAGGATTGTGTGTACATGGATGTTTGTGTGTACATGTGTGTATATATGTGTCATCTGTACCCAGCATCCAGATAATAAGGTTGGACGTTTCTAACACCCTGGATGACCCTCTTTTTACCTCCCTCATCAGTACTATCTCCTATCTTCTAACTAGAGTTAACAGAATCTTAGTTTTGCTTGTTCTTGAACCCCATATAAGCGAAGTCATATACTGTGTAATAATGTATTTTGTCATATTTTCTTCTGCTTTTATTTTTGTTATTCATGCCTATTGTTTCACGTAGCAGAAATTCTTTTATTGAAGTGTAATAATCTGTTGTATGAATATGCTGCAGAATCTCTCTTTTGTTGCTGGACATGTAGGTTTTCAGTTTGGCCTGTTCTTAGCTATTAACTTTTATACATGTCTTTTGGAAGACACAGGTCATCAAAATCGGTATCTTTTTCTTGGGACTTTGTCTGGGAATGAAATTGGTGGGTCAAAAGGTTTATATGTTTAATGGAATAGCCACTGCTAAATAGTTTTCCCCAAAGTATGAACTCACATTATCCCTAACAGTGCGTGAAAGTCAGTTGTTTCACATCTTTCACCAATTCTTAGTATTCTCAGTCTTTAGTATCTACCTAAATTCTTTTTAGGTGAGTTTCAACCACCCTCAGGGCAGTGGAAAGCAAAGATATTTGTGGAATGCCCCTGGTTCCTCTGCAAATTGCTTCTTTAAACAGATTTTTGTTTGTTTGTTTGTTTGTTTTTTGCTTGTTTGCATATGGCTTCTGGATTTTAATTTTAATTTAACCTTTTATCCTAAGGTTATAAGACCATTCTGGTTTTTTCCCTAATGGTTGGGGAGATTGTTTGTTTCCTGTTTTTTTGTCTGTTTTGTTTTGTGTCTATCTGGACTTTAGGAATTAAATTTAGAAACTGATTTTTCAAATGTAATTTTTCTTCTAGTTAGAGCAGCTTTCCCTGTGTCATCTGTTGAATAAACCATCCTTTCCCCATTTGTTTAAAATGACACTTTAATCATATAGGAAATCTCTATATGTATTTGGATTTATTTTTGGACTTCTTGCTTTTTTTGCCCTCTTTGTATTCATTTGCCAATGCCATACTGATTTAATTATATTAGCTTTGTCATTTATTTTCATATCTTCCATTGGCCATGGCTTCTTCATTAGTCTTCTTATTTCAAAAATTTCTTGGAAGGTCTTCTGTGTTTTTTGTTTTTCAGTGGACTTTAGAAAAACATCCCCAGTTCCAGAATAACTCCTGTTGAGATTCTAATTAAAATTACTTTAACTTTTCATATGAATTAGGAAGGATAGACATTTGAGGTACTAGGTCCTTTCATCCAGCTGGAAGGCATAGAAAGACAAGCATTAAGCAGCTGATCAGAGACCACAGATGGAAGATCTTCGATGATAGATTTTATGAAGTGAAATGAAGGAAAGGGGTGGGTTGATCAAATAACTGAGATCAGAGAAATCTTCTTGGAGGTGGCACCAACCTGAGGGTGTATATCTGTCCTGAACAGCGAGGTGAGTAGTGGAGCTGCCTTCTGGCAGGGGAAGGTTGAAGGAAGAAGGATGCAGAGGGGAATGGGGTGGAAGACGCGAGATGCTGTTATTATTATTATTATTATTATTTTTTGGTAACCGGGGATCGAACTCAGGACCTTGCGCTTGCGAGGCAGGCACCGGAACCACTGAGCTAAATCCCCGGCCCCAGATGCTCTTATTATTAACTAACTAGCCCTTCAGCTAGTTTTCTTTTCAATAGGTTCCCATCAAATCCACATTAATTTTCTCAGGTCACCTCTGTAGTCATGCTAGTCCCAGGATTGAAAGTCACCTCTGCTGACTCTTCTTTGTTCTCTGTGATCGACCTTTCAGCTTTTCATGTTGGCCTTCCATCTCCTTTTCCAGCCTGATCTCCCAGGCTCTTGTAGGATTGGCCTGTGTGATGTGGTTTCACTGTTTCAGCGCCACTGCTTCTCTTGCCCACAACACACCCTAATCCAGCACTTACCTGTCTCAACACTCATTTCTACTTGCTTGGCCCCACCCCTCTATTAGCCCACACCTCAGCCTCCCAGTTCTGTCTTCTACGGCCACAGAGGCCTCAGATGGCCTCTCCTGGGATCCCTTTGGTCCCTGTCACATGGCCTCAGTGGTCACACATTGGTCAGCAGTCACACCTCTGCTGTGTCCAGCTGCACTGGGAGCTCCTTTGGGGTGTGCGAGGTATGTTACATGTTGGGGCCACTGCCTACTTTACATGCATCAGGAGCCCAGAAAGGATGAGTTGAAACATTGGTATAATTAGTGCTGACTTGTGCTCGGGTAATGGAAAACATCCCTGAATTTGTAGGAAAATGGATGCACCTTGAGTCCATAATGTTAGGGGAAATAAATCAGATACACAAACTTAAATATTGCGTTGTTTCTCTCATATGAGAAAGTATAAATAAAGAGTAAAATAAAAGGTAATAGGAAGCAGACAGATAAAACTTCTAATATAACATCTTACTCCTTCAGGACATACGTGGTATTCCAAGTGACCACTTGAATATTGTGATGCGAGCTGTGGAATCAACAAGACATGAGCGAGAAAGACAAATACCGAACATGCAGCAAATCCGAGAGCGCCTTGAACATCAGCTCAGCAGTAAAATTGAAGAGAGAACATTACTCTCTTCAGGTAAGACTGTTACCGACTGCCTTTCCATTGTTGCTAGTTTTTAACAACCTTTCATAATTTTAAAAAGTTTACAAACTTTGGCACTTCATTGGCAACACTCTTGTTATTTGTACTGGTGAGTGTTTGGCCTTGGGTTTTACTTCTGTGTGAAAAAAATCCCTGGAGTCTGGACCGCAGACCCTGGAGACAAGCTTGTTTGTTTCCCTGGCACCAGAAACAGTATTGTGCTATTTCGTTTTTTCACTTTATTGACCATAATGGCCATGGAGACTCATGAATGACACTGCTATTCCAGATAAGTACACTGTTTCTCAAATGGACACGCTTTCAACTGGAGAAGTACCCAAAGCAATCCAACTTCCTCCCAAAAGCAGACAATTGGTTAGACAAAGACCTGTTTTTACTGATAGGACGCCTGTTCCAAAGTGAGTATTTTCGACCCTAAATTGTTTTTTATTGTTTGTCTTAGCCGCTTCAGGCTGGCGTATAATATACCATAGATTGGGTGGCTTACTTGACAGAAATTTCTTCTCCCACGGTTCTGAAGGCTGGGAGTCTGAAATCAGGGTCCCGACTGTCCAGGGTCCTCTCTAGGCCTGGCCAACAGCCACCTCTTGCTGTGTCCTCACATGGTGGAGAGCAAGCTCCAATCCCTTCCTCTTCTTGTAAGGGGTCCCACCATGGAGGCCTAGTCTCATGACTTCGTTTAAGCCTAATGACTTCCCAAAGTTTCTACCACCAGATACTATCACACTGGGGATCGAGTCTATACCATAGGAATTTGGTGGATCATGAACATCAAGTCCATAATCAGTTCCTTTCAGTTTCTTGTTGACACTGGAGATTCATTGGTTTCTTTCTTTAATATATGTTAAAAGAGAAATATCACCAATTTCATACAAGTTTATGTTAAATTATATTACTCATGTGTACACTTTAGAAACTTTTTTTTTTTTTTTTTAGAATTAAGAAAAATATCATAGAAGACCATCTTCCCAGAAAGTCTTCATCTACTTCGTGAGTCTGAGGCGAGGTTGTGGGGAGAGAGGGTATTTAAGATCTTTTCACTGAACAGTCCTTTCCTTATAAATTAGTATGCTCATTGTGGTTAACTAGAGTCACGACTGTTAAGCTTCACAGTTTGTGATCTGTTACGTGAGACACATCTTTATCAGTTATGTAAAGCAGTAGCAGTTAACCACATTATGGTCCCCATTAGGAAGGGGGACCACACCTCAGTCATTCCCAAGTCCCTTCCTGTCTGGGCAGTGGAGTAATTTCTCAACAAGCGCATTTAAGTCAAATGGAAGGTGTTGAGTTTTCGTGGCTGCATCCACCTTAGTATAAATTTTAGATGATGTTTTCGTGTTCTGGCCTTTTATAGGGGCAGATGGTGACCCTAGACCGAATTCTGTGAGGTTCTCCAAACACCAAGAATCCTTATCCAGTTGCTCCTCAGCTGTGAGCCACTGACTCAGTTGATTCCGGTTTAAGTCTTGATTTCCTTAAAAATGTTCTGCAGAATGGGATAATGCTGGTTTTCTCACAGGATAATTTTACAAATTAAATGAAAATACAATAAAAGGGCTGGGCTCAGTGTTTGCCACTTGTGAGTACTCAATAAATTTTAGGTATATTTACTCTTACTAATTCTGAATAAGACTAGTTTTGTTTTTGGGGTTTTTTTGGTACCAGGGATCAAACTCGGGACCTTGTGCTTTCAAGGCAGGCGGTGGAACCACTGAACTAAATACCTCCCCACCGCCAAGACTAGTTTTATTGTCATTGAATTTCACCTTATTCTGAATTTCAGCTTATTGGCCTTATTCTGAAGATATCGAAGCCATAAATTTCTCTTCCCCAAGGCACTGTGTAGTAGAGACAAATATTGATTCATTGTTCAAAAGCACTTTTCACGGACATGATCTCATAGGAAGAGCTTTTTAATGAGATGGCATGAGTGAATCAAGACTCACGAGGCTGATGTATTCTCTGGAATTTAGGTGCTTTACACATATTCTTTAAATGAATGAACACTGCTCTGAACTTCTATTTCATTTTAGAATGGAGGTGATACTTCATGTAATTATACAAATGGGGTTGGGTATATAGAAGTACATTGTATGGTACAGTGTAAAGGTGAGTTAGAAGTAATGACATTATTTAATTTTTTTTTTTTTGGTACCGCGGATTGTACTCGGGTCCTTGCGCTTGCGCAGCAGGTGGCGAAACCACTGAGCTAAATCCCCGGCTCAAATGACATTATTTTAAAAGAGTAGTCTTACTGTGGAAGATGTTCTTCCTTCCTTGAGAAATGTTTTCCTTAGGACCATAAAGAACAAGAATATTGAGAATACACGCAGTGGGGCTTCGAGGGGAAAGGTCATAGCTTTAGTCCGTCTTGGTAACCATGCTGCCTGGTTGGCTGATGTGGCTCTGGAATGATCCCTCAGCCTTGTACAGAACTCTGGGGCCTCCCTACCTTCTGATCTGAGGCCACACACTCTAGAAAGTCCCCAAGAAGGTTCTCACCGCTTTAGGAGGGATTTGGTTTGTACAACACCTGCTTTGGTTTGGATTTATGTAGGACACCTCCCTTCAGTTCAGAGGAGGAGCTGGACGATGACGGCTTCATTCAGGCCTATGTGTCCCCGGAGTTACTTCTGGGACAGTCGTCCAGGAGCAACAAGAGTGGTGTCGGAAAGAACATCGTCAAAAGTGACACAGACTGGACCGAGGGAAGTGAAATGGAGGACTCTGATGTTTCTCCCAAGCCCACAGGTGAGCTTTGAAAGTCCTGCAAATTGGGTTATAGGACAGTGGTCCCTTCCCAGGGTCACCGCAGGCTCATCCAGAAGGCACTGGACCTAGCAATGTGGATGCTTTTAGCAACCAGCCCATCTTCAAGCTGGAGGAGAGGGAAGACCTGGGGGTACCTGGGTGCGTCCGTTTCTAGGGCCGCTGTGACACAGGACCACAGCTGGGTGTCACTGTCCTGGGGGCTGGAAGTCCAAGATCAGGGCATGGGCAAGGTGGCTTCCTCGTGAGGATTGTTCTGGGGCTGTGTCCTTAGCTCGTTGATGGCTATCCCCTCCCTGTGTATCTTCACATCATCCTCCCTCTGGTCACATAGGTTAGGATTCATGACTCACTCTTGTTTTTTTTTTTTTTTGGTACTGGGGATTGAACTTGGGACCTTGGGCGTTCGAGGCAGGCGCCAGAACCACTGAACTAAATCCCCAGCCCATAGGACTCACTCTTAATGACCTTACTTTAGCTATCTCTTTAGATATCCAATCCCCAAATAAGACCACATTCTCAGGTGCCAGAGGTGAGGACTTCAACCTCTGGATTCACCGGGGCACAGTTTAACCCACTAACATTTGGTGACTGTGAGAGTGACTTTCTAATACACTGTGCCTTTTGGCATAGATTGGGCCAGTTGTTTGTTTGTTTTTCTTTTGGTACCCATTATCGAACTCAGGACCTTGCGAATGCAAGGCAGGCGTGGTGCCGCTGAGCTAAATCCCCAGCCCTGGGGCAGTTTTAAAGAAAGGCGAAGTCCCAGTCTGTGACTACTAATAACTTGCTAAAGAGAAGAGTAATTTTTTTTTAAGTTCTTTTTTGTGTTTTGTTTTCTTGAGTTAGCATCTCACTGTAGTTCAGGCTGGCCCTGACCTCACTGTGTAGCCTAGATTAACCTCAAACTCGAAGTGATCCTCCTGCTGGGATTATAGGCGTGCGCCACCACGCCCAGCCTGAAATTCTGCAATATAATTTAAAATTATATAGTTTGGACATTTCAGGTATAATATTGTTTTATTATATATAATTTATATATTGTGTAGCTACATAATTATGTAAAATATAACTAATTTGAAAATAGTTTATATTGTTTTGGAGAATATCCTTTTATTTTTTATTTTATTTTAGTTTTTTTGGTATTGGGGATCGAACTCGGGACCTTGTGCTTGGTGAGGCAGGTGGTAGAACCACTGAGCTAAATCCCCTTTCATGGAGGAATACTGAAATTAAAGTTTCTGACCACATATTTGAGTGACATCATCCTTTTTTGATTTAAAATAAAACCTTTATAGATTCTTGTCTGGAGTATCATGATTGACTTTTTTTTTTGGTACCAGAGATCAAACTCGGGTCCTTGTGTTTTTGAGGTAGGTGGCGGAACCACTGAGCTAAATCCCCAGCCCCCGTGATTGAATTTTAAAAGGAATTACAGTATCCATGTTTTACTTTTTTTCCAACCCCTAAATACATCAATTAATGTTATAATATATAATTATGCAGAAAGGTTAGACTCTTTCAAAGTTTCCTGTAAGGTTATTTTGGAAATGAAGACAGATGCAGTTATGAGAAAACTTTTCATGACTAATTTCTGTTATCTTTTAGGAACCTCCATTAAAACACTAACTGAAAAAGTTGAAAAGATGGTTTCACATCACAGAAATGTGAATAAGCCAGTTGGTGGGATTAATGTTACTGATGTGTTCATGATAAAAGAAGAATTACAAGAAGAACTGAAGGTGAAATCGCTTTTACTTGATTAACATGCATTAATTCATCTTTTGATGAATATACCTTTTTCTGTTTTGTTTTGAGACAGGGTCTTGCTATGTATTCCAGGCTGGCCTTGAACTCACTATATGGCCCGGGCTGGAATTTGAGGTAATCCTGCCTCAGCCTCCCGAGTGGTGGGATTACAGGCATGCACCACCACACCCAGCTGATGAATATATTTTAATCATTATGTTTGATAGTTAAATATAAACAAATGTAAATATTTAGCATAGTAGAGATGGAGATTTTCATCTTATTTTGCAAATTTTTAGTATTGTATTTCAGTGTCATACAGAATCAAAGATACTGGAGTGATAACCGGTAAAGCCTGAACATCCCTAATCTGAGAAGTCCAAAATCCTGAACTTTTTGGGCACCAACATCGAGCTCAGAAAAGTTCAGATTCTGGGTCTAGGGAGTCACTCCACGGTGAAGACTGTGCTCAGCACGCATGAGGTCCTGGGTTCAGTCCCCAGTCCACATGCGCACACAGAAACACACAGTTCAGAATTTGAACCACTTTGGACTGCTGATTTTGGGTTATGGAGATTCATAACCTGTAAAGTCTATGCAGATATTCAAAAAATATGAAGAACTATAAAGTCTGAAACACTTCTGATCCAAGCATTTTAGATAAAGGGTGTACTGTAATAGTGCATCTCTTGAATACTGCACTTCACAGGCTTTTGGAATTCTAGGGACTTTGTAGGGGTTAGCCCCACGTGGGAGGTGGAGTCAGTGGAGAAATGCTTTCAGAGACAAGTGTGAACCAGGAGACCAGGCCATGCGTATCCATGCTTGTAGCAGCACAGTTCATAATAGCTAAATCTTGGAAGTGGCCTAGATGTCCATCACCAGATGAATGGATAAAGAAAATGTGGTATTTACACACAATGGAGTACTACTCTGCCATAAAGGAAGATGAAGCTGAGCCGGGATTTAGCTCAGTGGTTTTGCTGCCTGCCTCACAAGCGCAAGGTCCCGAGTTCAATCTCCGGTACCAAAAAAAAAAAAAAAAAGGAAGTGGGGTGTATTATGTACATAAACCAACTCTGCAGGAGGAAGGTCAACATTATGTCCTGCAAACCTGGACCAGGAAAAGAGAGACAGACAGACAGGCAGGTCCTGTCCCTTTTGTGCATAGCAGAGAAGAGGCTGGAATGTTTTCCGAGCAGTTCTGACACCCAGGACGCCAGGCTCTGTGTGAGTGGAGCTCTGCTGTTGTATTTCTGGGCAGCTTATCTGTGTCTTCCAAGAGCAGTCACGCCTAAGTTTTTACAGAAATTAGATTTAATTCCTGCTCTTCTGTGGAATCCAGAACATTCTGTCAAGCTACTTCCATTAGTGCTACTTGCGTTACACAAGCTAAAAATGAGAGGAAGTCGGGCTTTGTTCAGGAGAGTGCTTGGTTCCTCAAAGGGCTGTTCCCGCAGGGCTTGTGTGTGTAGTGTTTCAGGAATTTTCGAAATTCATAACTGATAAGAAGAAAAATATATTTCCATGGCATGAAACAAAAAAGAGGTGATTCCTTCAGCTTTTGAAACAGGGACTTCCAAATCCATTCATTGCTGTGCAAAAATGGCCTGGATTTTGGATCCTCTTACCATTTGCATTTGTTTTGTTTTGTCTTGTTTTGTTTTGTTTTGTTTGAAGGTCTCACTATCTGGCCCAGGCTGGCCTTGAACTTGTGGTGATCCTCCTGTCTCAGCCTCTCTAGTGCTGGGATTACAGGTGTGCGCCACCACATCCAGCAGTTCTCAGCTTTTCTCATCATTCAGTGTCAGCTGCTCAGCCTAAACTGCACAATGATTTCAGGGTGCTGCTCTTTAAGAAACATGAGTTACACTCCATGTATCCATTTTAGTGTGCAGATGTGGATGATGATGACTGGGACATATCATCCTTAGAGGAAGAAAAATCTTTGGGAAAAAAAGCTGGGAAAGAACAGAAGGACCCTCCACTTGTGAAGAATGAGTCAAATTCTACTCACGTGCGAAGTGCCTGGGGTGCGCTCTAAGGAACCCATGGGAGAAGGTGTGATGCCCTCACCCCCAGTCCATTCCTGATTAGTTGTTTCATCTCTGTAAATAAATACCTGTTTGATATATGCTAGTAGATCATCACATTATATAAGTATCATTGGATGCTGTATGTTATTTAAAGACTGAATATTTACAACTTACCAATACATTTACTGATCATTTTTATTTACTTATTTTATTTTTGTTATATTCTTTTTCCATATCTCCAAATAATCTCTTCATGCAGATGCCCCATAGAAATTCAGGTTTCTGGTCATCTACCTGAATGAGACCAATCTTCTGGCAGCCTTCCTCTAACCCTCTGTTTGCTACTAAATATTTTTCTTGATTTTCTTCCAAGGGAAGTTTTTCTTGTAGCCTTTCAGTCAATGGCATGAATTACAAATGAAATCATTAGTGGAAATGCTTGCCATTCACTTAGTTTAGAGCCTGGATAAATACGGTAACTTATCTTTCAACAGATTTCATTCTTAAAATTGGAAAACTGTAATTTGTATTTTTTATCAAAGTGGTTCTCACACATGGTGGGAACCAAGGTGAACAGAGCCCCCCGCCCCCATATCTTACCACCCCAGGTCTCAGGAGTGGACCCAGACCCCAGTCCCTTGATTTGACAGCTTCAGACTTTGACTGTCGCTGTCCCCTGCCGAGACAGGACTTGGCTCATTCCACCAGCTGATTACCTCTCGCACCCCTCCTCACTGATTCTGCACCTTATTTATAATTTTAGTTAGCACTCATCCTCCACGTGTGCATTTTCCTCTCTCAGCAGGATCTTGTGCACCCCCTCTGGGAAAATGAGCTATCACCGCCTTGTCCCTCTGCTGCCATCGACCAAAACGTCAGTACTTACTGTCACCTTGTCAGATAATAACACGACTGTCACAGAGCCCTCATGAAGCTGCTTGTGCTGAGGATTGACTCTAATCTTTGAAATCCAAAAGCTCATGTGTGTCACATGCCACTTAAGTGACAGGCCAGTGTGACCAAGGCATGACCCACACCCCACAATGAAAGTTTCTAGTCAAACTGGAGTGCCATTCCGTGCACTGTACTGCTTCAGTAGCTGAGAATCCTGGCACTTTTAAAAGTTTATGTACCTTAGAAAAATCTGTTTTTAACATTTAACCCTCTGGTATAGAGTTTTGTGTTGACTTGTTGATTTTATTCTCCTTTCTTTACAACATCTGCTCCCTCAGAGGTATTGATACTGTACTGCCACTGGTGGACTGGTCACCTTGAGTTTCCAGGCCCTATAATGAAGGCTAGGGAAGGAGAAGCAGAAACTTTGTGGGCTGAAGGGCCAGGGTCATACGAGGGGATCCTAGAGATGTGCCCAGTTTGTGCTGGATTTTACAGTGGGCTCCTGCATAGCTCATGGGGGCTGGGACTGGGGATTCCCGAAGAGAGTAGAACTCTGAGTGATAAACGACAATATGGAATCATGGCTTTTTCGGGCTTGACTGTGTGTTTGTTTAACCACTGGGTATTCTTTTCTTCCTTCTCCCTCTCCCTCCTCAGGACTTCAAGAAATGAGTGCTTTAAAAAGCAGCTTAGTAGCTGAGCCTGATCGGAGTGACTCTTCAAAAGATTCTCCCAGAAACCAACAGTGTTCAGTGGCGGCCTACACACTTCTAAAGCCCCTGCCTTACAGTGTTTCTCTCAGTAACAAGGATGCCACCTCAGAGAACAAGGGTCTCTTCAATAGCACTTAATACAGTATTGAAAAACAGTCAGCAGTATTTTAAAGCATAGATAGGTGTTTCACTTCTGCAGCTAAAAAAATAACATGCCATTAAATTCAGAAAAAGTGTCTTCTTCAGAATGGTACTCCAGTGTTAAGTGCATTTTTTCAACTTTTTTTTTAATGTATAGCAAATTTTGGCTTGGATTATTACAGCTTTTTTATATCTTATGTATATTGTCACATTGGACACATTGATATTATAAAACTCAGTTGGACTTTAAATTGCGTTAGTGAGCAGTAAAATCTTAAGAGTTAGACTGATTATTTGTCATATTAGAAGTTTAGAATGATAATAATATAGCTAGGCCAATGTTAAATACATCTTCCTGAATTTCTGGGTCATATTCACCTTTGGGTCGCTGTAAGCATGTTGCCACTAAATGGTTATTTTCTGTGCTGTAATCTTTTATCCTGGATATTTTATGAATATAATGTAGCTATTTAAAATGCCAATTAATTTATCAATATGAATAGCAAAGCGTTACTGACTCACATGTGTAGGTAGTTTTTCTTCTTTTGGACTTGAAAAATATCCAACTCACCTTATAAAATACCTCAAAACTAATTTAGTTATGTTGTTGAACAATGACATTGTTAAAGGCCAAAAGGTTCATATGAGATGTTTTTTGCATTTTTTATACTTTGTGGTACTATCTGTACTTTGTTTCCAAAAAAAGTAACATTTTAACTAAATGGTTGATTGGATTTTAGATCTCTTTACATTTGTCAAGGTTACCAGTAAAGCCCTCTCCATCACACCCTTGTGACTGTGGCTGATTATTCTGAGATGATTTCTGAGTGAAATTTATACTTTTTTTGGAGACCGGATCTCGCTATGCAGTCCAGGCTGGCCTTGAGCTCACTATGTAGCCCAGGCTGGCCTCGAACTCTTGGTGATCCTCCTGCCTCAGTCTCCTGAGTGCTGAGATTGTAGGCACTCCCCACTATACCCAGCTGATATATACTTTTGTGGGGACTTAACTAGAGGAGAAGCCCTGGTAGCTATGCCATGTAACATCCTGGCTTTAGAATAAACCTGTTTCTACCTCCCCAGGGCCCTTTTTACTTGTACCTATTCTATATCTGTAAACATTTCCCCAACTTCCTGCAAGAGCATTTTAATGCAAATACACTCGTTCTGTTTCTAAAATCTTTACTAAATGATAAGTTTCACGTAGAAGCATAGAGCTAAATCAACCTATGAAATCAGTGTGTCTGAGATAGCCATGCATTATTTTGTTCACACAGTCATTTCTGCAGCAAATATTTATTAGCCACTTGGTTTTTTTTTTTTTTTTTTTTTTAAGTACCAGGGATCGAACTCTGGACCTTTCCCTTGCGAGGCAGGCGGCAGAACCACTGAGCTAAATCCCCGGCCCATATGACCCTCATTTTAAAGATATGAGAAACAGTTATTAAGTAACTTGCCAAAGGCCATACATACAGCTAGAAAGTGACAAGAGCATCTGCAAACCAAGAATCTTCCAAGTTCTGTGTCTTGGTCTTGAGCAGATAGGCTGTGGAAAATGTCTGCTTCTGCTAAAAACTAATCCCAGTATTTAAATTAAGTCAATGTGTTTGTGTCACAAAAGCCAGTCTTTTATCTGTCTAGTCCGTAGCATTTTTTTTTTTCTACTACATTTGGTTTGTTCCTTTTCCTCTGGACCATTACCTTCTAGGAGCCTCCCTGATAGCCAGCTAACATGTTTCTGTTTATCAGCAGAATTTTTCCATACCTTCATCCTCTACCTGAAATTTTTCAGTACATTTTTACCAGCTCAACTGTAAGTAAAGGGAAAAAAAATTGTTTTAAATGCACACCCACACAGTCCTGTCCACACACTAGCCGGAAGCACCTACCTTCCCTTTATGTCTTTCAAGTACTGTGCTAACATGGCACTAACTCGTATGGAAATTTAAACAAACTTGTTCATTTCCTTTTCTTTCTATTCAGCACCTCCAAACAATGTGATTTTTTTTTTCCCTTTAAGGCTTTCACACTTCAGAGAAATGATGTATTCACCTGTGTTGCAATTCATAGTGAACAGCTTCCTCCAGATAACACAGGTCCGCTGAGCTGCATCCGCAGCCCTCCCTGGCCAGCCTGACCCCTCCCCCCCTTGTGCTGGGGGTGGGTGCTGGATCTGAGGGACCCCTGCATTCTCCAACCGATCTGTGTTCTCAGCTCTCATCAGTTTCAATTCTGTATTTTCCCCTGGACTGTCCCAGCTCTAAGTCCTGTTTGTCACTACTGTGACAGGTTTCTCAAACTCTGTTTTAACTTCCTTCTCTGTAAATGCAGGATAAGAAAAATACATGTCGCATAGGGAGGCCTGAGGGGCTAAGGGGCTAGGTAGGGCATGTAAACTTTGTGTTCATGGTGATGACTGCTGCCCTCGTGGGCATATTATACTTAGGCCTGGCTCTCGGCATCTATGACCTTGTTCAGAAATTACTGGAGCAACTCACATGTCTTGAAAAATGGCAAGTCTCTCAATTCCCAGTTAATTCCCTAAACAGGACCTGTAAAGACAGAGCCCATCAGTTCTGAGTGAGGCAGGTGCCATGCTGGCTCTGGGATTTCCTTTGTTGCTTTCAGAGTTCACCCTAGCTGTGGCCAAAGCTCAGCTCCTGCTGAAGCTCTGCTGTTTCAGAGAAGCCTGGGCAGTTTCTTAAGGTGGATGTGCCACATAAAGGGCAATAACACTTTGTCCTCACTGGCCCTTCCTTGAGCCATAATAATGAATGACAGGTGTGACAAATGGGTGTAAGACACTAGAAGGCAACTCGATGCAGCCGCCAATAACTTGTGTATTTAACTTGGACGTCTTGTGAGGAACAGTCTCAGATTGGCTCCACGCTGTTTCGAAGACACCGCTCTTTATATACTTCCTGTTTATGAATGAAACGAGGAGGGTCAAATATCTCAAGGTATAAATGATCAAGAAGGCTGTGTTACAAAAAGTTCTTGAACCTTTGGTATCAGATGCTTTAAACATCCTCTAAATGTATGAAATGTACAAATCCTGTAAATAACCTGTTTATTTTTTTATAGAAACCCATAACAGAAAATGATTAGTGCATAACCGTGTAAGAACATTTACATCCATACAATCAACAAATTCTTCAAATTCATATTTTACAAATAAGTTTGATTGTTAATTATAGGAGGGTCTTCGATGGGCTCATTATTGTGAACAGTCTGCTTTGATAATAAACTCAAGACACAGCCTTCCAGCAAAGCTCTTCAAACATAAGCATTTTTATCAAACTGTTTTGAAGGGCTTGTGGTTTTAAAATCTCCTTCTCCGCCATGATACTTTGTCCGAGAAGACATGATTGATGTGGCTCCGTTGTATGCATAGCCCATTCTGAAAAGGCAAAAACAGTTTGGGAGATTCCATTCTACTCATGGGACAAACAAAAACTGGATGAAAACCATTTCTGCCCATTTCTGTCAGTAGCTAAGCTTGAGTCTTCCTGTTTCTCCTTAGCTTTCTTCCCTCCTCTAGCTTTGAGAAATAGCTCAGTGTCATTTATAGCTCAGTGTCATTTCTAAGTAGCTTGCATGACAAAGAATCTCTGCAGAAGAGATTCATGACTTACTCATTTGTTCAGTTATTCTTTTTCAAAGCTGTTTTTAAAAAATTCACCTTCCTGGAACCTAGACTTCAGTAGTGACCTTCATCAATAATTTCTGCCTATATGCTGATGAGGCCAAGGTGAAAAACATGCCCTCACATTTAGGTTCATTTTTTAATTTTTTATTTTTTTGGTACCGGCGACTGAACTTGGGACCTTGCGCTTGCAAGGCAGGCACCAGAACCACTGAGCTAAATCCCTGGCCCAAGTTCATATTTTTAATTACAGAAATACTTTTGGAATGTGATAATGATGAGCTCTTTTTGTTTAAAAACTGACTATATTCCTAGGCTTTTTTTTTTTTTTGTACTAGGGATCGAACTTGGGTCCTTGCGCTTGTGAGGCAGGAGGCAGAACCACTGAGCTAAATCCCCGGCCCCATATATTCCTAACATTTTCAATTCTGGGCTTTTGAAGTTTCAAAGGATCACATGACCTGTCTGCAGTTTGTCCCATGCATAATGATGATTTACAATAGTATAGTACCTTTTAACAGATAATTTTTGTCTCATTCCTACCTGGGTGTTTTGTTGTTGTCAGATATTGAGAAGCAAAATATGACACCACCAATTATGCAGAGTGAAGCGCCTGCCCATCCAATAAACAGAGCAGCTCCTAATTCATACCTGTGAGAAAATATGACACAAGTATTATAGCTCACTTTGGGGGGAGGGGTTAAGCAGCATTTAACCCTGCTAGCCACCATTTACCAAAGACCCATTATACTTTTTTCTACTGGAACTTGTAAAGGAAGTGGTAATACTTTTGTATCTGTAGAATGCTTTAAACTTCTGAAAGTGTTTTATGGGGATAGCTTTTTTTTTTTTTTTGGTACTGGGGATTGAACTCGGGTCCTTGCACTTGTGCAGCAGGTGGCGAAACCACTGAGCTAAATCCCTGGCCCTGGTGATAGCTTTTTTACACTTCCCCAACATTCTAAAAGGAAATGAGGGTGTCTAGCCAGGCAGGGTCAAAACCCAGGTCTCTTGACTTATTGGCATCTCTTGTTCAGTGCTTTTGCTTCCCCAAACTTTCCATTTATTCTCCCTGCGGGATAAATTATTTTGGCACACTGAATTTAAAAAGGGGAGGCCACCTCTGCTTTCATTTTCCATCAATTCAGTAAGTCTTTGTCAATACCAGTCAGGTGTAAATAAACCATAGGTACAAGGTGTCCACCAAGGATCAGGGATAGAAATGGCATCACCTGATTAATCACTATAATTTAGTGGGGAGATGAATATGCAACTGTGATCATGAGCATGGTATGAAGCATCTTCTAGGCCACTATACTCTGCAGATAACCTCAGCAGATGCAAAGATAAAGGAGGCAGCTCCTTCCTTGGGAGGTCACTATACAAAGGTAAGGGTAATGCTACTGAGCATAGGAACGCGTCACCTGGCAAGGAGTGCTAGAGGAAATCCTTTTGGTTGAGGAACAGTCACCCAAACAAATGACTGAGAACACACAAAAGCCTCAGGGTTGTGTGCTGCTCCCATGTTTGCCTGTCCCTTTCCTGGAGAATAAGTATTTGTTTTATTTTTATAAAGAATGACTCATTTGGGGCCCATACACCCTCACTGCAGTGCAAAAAACCCCTCACAACAGTGGTTTTCGGTATACAGTGAAGCCAGAGTGGGACAGTGTTTGGATGACACAGAACCCAAGGAGGAGCTGAGACATGGAAAGTCAGAAGCGAAGATGGAGCCCAAGCCCAGCCCCATTCCCAGCTGTCCCCTCCCCTAACCAGGTGGCCACTGGATGGTGCAGTTGTGGCCACTCGAAGGGGATCGTCCTGAGCCTCTCATCCCTTGCTACTTGCCATGTCACTATCTGAGCTCTGGTCCTCAGCATAGGCAAGTGTTCTAGTGTGTACTCGGGGCAGGTGGGGTTAGTGTAGCCCCCACCACTAACCAGGAGAACAGGAAGCAACAGGGACCTAGGGGCACTGGTGCATTTTCAACTAGGATGGGGCCATGTGCACATAAAATGTTGCCCTGTGATCCCTCCTTTTCTCACTCTTGTGCTAAATTTCCTGGGACAGCAGGTGACAGGTGAGGCCAGGAATAATAGTGACAGAACACCTCGGCTTTGGCACTGTACCTAGCTCTGGAACACTGATTATGCTCTGGGAGCCCAAAACTTCTCCAAGGGTTCACATCATAAACAGAACCTTGGTCTAAGTGATGAAGGGCATCCTCAGTCTACTCACACACAAAATCATCCCCAAAGAGGGTTGAGAAGTGGAGTGAGAAAAGGAAATGAACTGGCCCATTCTACTTTTGCTGCCATTCAGAAGGCCTTTGATGTTATTTAAATTCTTTTTTGTTCTGGTTTGGTTTTGACTCTAAGACAGGGTCTTGCTATGTAGTCCAGGCTGGCCTTGTACTCACTCTGTAGCCCAGTGATGGCAAACTTTTTTTAGAGCTTTCATGATAAAAATAGCTCACTGTGGCACACGTGCCATAGGTTCACCACCACCACATGTAGCCCAAGCTGGCCTCGAACTGTCAACGATCCCCCTGCTTCCCAAGTGCTGGGATTGCAGGCGTGGGCTATTTTGTAGGTCTTGAGGGTACCTCCCAGGCAGTGAAAGAGAACTGAGCAGAGAAAGAGGCAGAGAACACCAGGAGAGGGACTAGCAGGGAGATAGATAGGCTGGGCAAGGTCTGATCAGCCTGGTTCTCATCAGGGAGCCCCCAGGAGAATGGTGGGAAATTGGGCAAAATGCATGTTTGCAGATGATTCCCATAAAATGCTTACTTATATAAACCCGTTCTTGCAGTAATGTAGGCCTTGGGTTGTATAAAACCTACGCATTAGGGGAAAAGTTTTGGTTAGACAGTGATTCTCTGAAAGACTGGGTTACTGATAGAATTCAATTTTGAAACGTTAACACTGACAACATGATGGACTTTTAAGATTTTAAACTTTATTTATTTTTGGGGGGGTCGTACCTGGGATCGAACTTGAGTCCTTGTACTTGCGAGGCAGGCGGTGGAACCACTGAGCTAAATCCCCGGCCCTGATTTTAAACATTTTTAAAAACATTTGGTTGGTTTAAGATAACTGGAATATTTTATTATTTAGACTGTTGGCACCTTGATTAAAACGAGGAGGACAACTAGTATGTTTGGAAAAGTCCTGGTCCCTTTGCTCCGAGAGCTTCATTAAGGTCATTCATTTCTCTGGGGAGAAATGAGGCACTTTCATTTATTGCAAGAGTTTTTGCTTTTTTTTTTTTCCGCTTTATTTTTGGAGGGGCTTTTCTGTCCCTTTTCAGAGCCAGTATGCCCTGGTTTTAACGACTCCCCTCTTCTTTTTTGTGCTGGGTGACAAGACAGCCCCAGGGATTTCAGAAAGAATTCCACATCCCAGAGCTTGGAGCCACTGAGAACTTAATGAGCCAGAGAGAAACTCTCTCCTCTTTCTGAAATGAGAACTAATTGTAGTTGGCACTGATTGGGTTTTTAAAATACTAATAAAATATTTTACTTAGTTAAGGTGTACATCAAAAGAAGCTAAAACAACACCTGAGAGCTCAGGGTTTGAATCACAGTTCTGGGTTTTAAATCCTGGTTCCGCCAGTTTTAGCTGACACAGGAGAAGTCAACATGCGACAGCCGAGCTTCAATTTCCTCATTTGTTAAATGAGGATATTAACACTTACCTTCAGGATTAGAATGAAGATTAAATATGGTAATGCATATAAAAATATCTTAGCACACACACAAGTTCTAGCCCAGTCAGCTGACTGTAAGTCACTGTTGTTACCTTGGACATTGACTTGAACCACATCTACATATTTGGGAGAACCACAGTCATGTTTGCTGGAGCAGACATGCTCTTCTGCCTCTATTGTTAGGTTTCATCACAATTTACTGTAATTATTTGCTTAACATTTGACTAACCCTGCTGGACTATAAGATTTGTGAGAACAGGTTGTTTCTTTCTTGTGTCCACTCTGAACACTTGGTTAGCATGGTATCTGGCCTGTCATTCCTGTGGAGATGAGCAGGGGAAGCTACACAGCTCCCCAGAGGTGGCGAATCCAGTCAGAGTGGGAATTGGGGTACAAAGAAGATAAAAAGAGGAGTGTTCTTCAGTCTCGGGATTGCTGTGGAGGTTACAAGGCTACACTACGCATGACAGTATGAGCTGTGTCACATCAAGGTCACCAAGTGTTATCACAGTCCTGGCCTTCTCAACATGAAGTGAGAGCCACACGCACGGCTTCAGGCCCCAGACACAGCCAGGTAGAAGAGAGTAACTTCAACGAGTAGTTAAGACTACATTTTAACACCTTAGATGTTCCTGGTTTATTTTTGTTTTGTTTTGTTTTTTGGTACCTGGGATTGAACTCAGGACCTTGCTCTTGCGAGGCAGGCAGCAGCATCACTGAGCTAAATCCCCAGCCCGTTGGGCTTTATTTTTCCCGAAAATGTTAAGCAGTTAATCTGTGTTTTAAAAGTAAATCTGTTTCCGATTACTGGTTTACCAAAGTCACATTCACTGACACAAATGAATTGAGGCCCTACCAGCTGCTTTTAATGAGTCCTGTCAACTAAGATACTCCAAAAACAATGTTTGCATCTATGAACCAAGTTCCATTTGACAGTCAGAGATCTGCCAGAAAGATCTGGAGATGAGGAAGAAAATGTGAGCATAACAAAGAGGCTACACTGTGAGTGGGAAAGCTGGCTCAGGGCCAAGAGGATACTGTTGGCCAGAGATCTGCAACAGATAACCTGAAATTTGGATAATCTTCCTGAGGCGTTGAAATCATCCTTTTAGCATTATGAAAAGAAAGAGCTCCAAGCAGAGGCAAAGGAAACGTGCCCTGGAAATAAATTGGAGTGAATATTCTTTTCGTTTTTTGGGTTTTTTTGGTACGGGGGATCAAACTCAGGACCTTGCACTTTCGAGGCAGGCAGCGAAACCACTGAGCTAAATCCCTGGCCCTGGAGTGAATATTCTATTATCTCTCTCTCTCAATTCTGCCTTTTAAGGACTTCATTATTTCCCAGAAGACACACTGATAGGTATGAATTGAAATCACTGTTCAGTAAGTCTGTGACACACATTCAACAGAGTGAAGAAAAAGGGTCTGAAAGAGAAAGAATCAGTTACAAAAGCCATCACATGAAATTGTTAAAAAAAACAAAACAAACAACCAGGGTAGACAAAGGGTTTCAAGTCAACTCTAAATGAATACTACTTATTACATGTTGGACAGAATTCATAGTGGAAGTCAAATAGAAATAATATTTTCCTTGGAACAGAGCCTATATGAGAAGTAAAATATATGAAAATGAATAAGCAAGCCAGTTAATATAAGCCAAATTCATGATTTCTGAATCCCTTCAGAAAGTTTCAAGATGGTGTGAATTAATGACACAATCCTGTGATCTGTAACAATACTGAGTACATGTCTGTTGGGTTCCCTTCAGTGAATTCATAGTGCCAAGCTGTGGCCTGTTGATTTGTTACCTTCATCCCGCGACTGACCACTACTGAAAACCAGAAACTTAATCACCTGTGGTACCTGGCACTGCCATCCTATTTTACTAAAGCTCAATATTTTATGAAAAGCCTCTGGCTTTTTCAGGGTGTATTTCTGCTAAG